CGCCGCTGCGTTCGACTCGTGTCATGATAAACGAGCTGTACCGTGCCGACTGACTTGCCAATATGAGGATTTCCGTTGTTAAGGATAATTTGTGAAAAATTTAAAAAAAGCACGGGTATGGTGCTGACAAACCTAGAAACATAATCTGGGCGAACCGAGATCCGAACCCACAATCATAGGTTTCTGGCGTGATCAAGGGACGCAACTCTGCAAAGCTAATCCCTTCTCCTCAGACAACAGGGCCACCTGTGTCCCCGTTGTTCCCTCAAAACGTCAAAGTTATTGTTATCAGGTGAGGCTGAAATTTCCAAGAATGAAACTTCTGAAACATTGCTGTTAAAAGACCCTCTGAACACTTTACATGCCTGTATATAAATAGACCTGTGTCAGAGGACATGTAAAGAATTACAGGAAATGGAAAGGTGACGGTCAGTAGATCAAAAACAAAGAACCTGCGACATGGAAATTATATTGATAAAGTGTATTGGTTGACAACGTATTATTATAGATTGTTAATGAGCTCACAAACACATAAATACAAGAAAATGTTTACGGGATGTCAGTTCTAGGACTAATTACATATTAATTCAGTTTCACTTGGACAACATAAAACGAAGCAACATGGAAATTACATCCTCTAACTACACAAGTTCTATTTTATGACTCAGTCTTATCAAATTTGCATAGTTACATGTGCGTTTATCAGGTTCGTATGCAGTGTCATTGACTGATTAACTTAGCGGATTTTGTTTACTATCGAAACTGTAGCAAATACACAGTCAAAGATTCGTTAATCCGACACCCGTTAATCCGACAATCGGCTTTATTAGACACTTATGATGGGAACCGATTAAATCAGTGTTTTTAAGACCCGTTAATCCGAAAGTCTCGCACTCCGACTCCGACTCCGACACACCTAATTTGCAACGAATTGCTGAAATCACTTATTGGTCAGTCTCGTTGATCCGGCATGGTGTACTCACGAGTACACAGCCGGGTTTTGTTATTCGGCGAGTAGCTGCATATTACAACGGCTGCAAATATATACTTGCTTACCAATAAACGATTACTGCTTTAAATAAACAAAACCGTGGGTATAGACCAAACTCTATCGGACCAATGTCCCCGAGAAAATGGCACTCCACAGGGCAGTATCCTCAGCCCCACCCTCTTCAATATAATGATAAACGATCTATACGAGGGCCTATCCCCTAAAGTAAACACATCAAAATTCGCGGATGATGGAGCCATCTGGATCCGCACTAAAAGCATGAAAATTTACTCCAAAAATCTCTTAATAAAATACAACAATGGGCTGACAAATGGGGCTTCTCCCTTAACTCAGAAAAAACAACAGGAATAGTATTCAAACATAAAAACATGAAACCCGCCTCCCCAATCCTCCAACTAAACAATCAAACAATCAAATTTCAAAAACAAACCAAATTCTTAGGACTTATTTTCGATGAACATCTCACCTTGGATGCTCACATCCAAAACCTAACAACTAAATGCAGTAAAGACCTAAACACCCTAAGATGCCTAACTGGCTCTAACTGGGGAGCCTCCAAAGATACTCTCCTCTCTCTCTACATATCACTAATTAGATCAAAACTAGACTACGGCTGCGCCATATACAACACCCTAAACAACTCCCTATCTAAAAAACTTGACTCAATACAATATCAGGCTCTCAAACTAATTACACGCACCCAACATGGCACCTCCTACACCTCACTTCAGGCCTTAACAGGAGAAATGCCGCAGTCTACGCAGGGAACAGCTAAGCTTAAATTTCTGGGCCGCGTCCAAATCAAACCCTCTCATCCAAAACTTAATAAACCAAAACATCAGCCCTAAAAACCAAGCTCTAGCTCGTAAACACCCCTTACTTACCCCAATATCCCAAAGAATAACAAACTACCTAAATGAACACCAAATTAAAAATCTTAAACAAAACTGCAAACAATCAAATATCTTCACCCCTAAACTTAAAATACCCAAAATAGACACAACACTAGCTAGCCAAATAAATAAACAAACCGACCTAAACATAGCTAAAACTACCACACTAGCATACATACACGAAAATTTGCCAAATTGGTGTCACATTTACACGGACGGATCCTCAGATCCGACCTCCAAACACACGGGTTTCGGAGTCCATACCACACAACCAACTAAAACCACACAATCCTTCCGACTCCCAAATAACCAATCAATATTCACGGCAGAACTAATGGGCATGGCCTCAGCCCTCCATAATCAAGAATCCAAAAACAAAACAAAAAATCCTAATACTTACCGACTCCCTAAGTGGACTGCAAGCCCTCCAAAACAAAAATACCAAAAACCGACCTAAATTAATAAATCAAATACTTAAAAGTTCCAACGACCTAACTAAGGCAGGCAAACAAATAACCTTCTTGTGGATACCCGCCCACGTAGGAATATACGGTAATGAAAACGCCGATAAAGCAGCTAAACTATCCCTCAAAATCCCAGAAATAAGCTTAAACTTACCCATCTCAAAATCAGAAATTAAAAGTGTAAACAAGCAAAAAATCACCAAAAAAATGGCATAACCTATATCTAAACTTAAATTGCCAAATCAAAAAAGTGCTCAGCAAACCACTAACCAAACCAAACATTCTCCATCCATAAAAAAAAAACGACAGAGTAATCACTAAACTCCAAACAGGACACACCAACCTAAATAACCACCTAAAAAAATAAAAATCACACTACAGGTAACTGCCCACACTGCAAACAACTAGAAAACCCAGAACACGCACTCATCCACTGCACACACTACCTCACACATCGAACCGCATTACAAACCACCCTCAATCTAAACAAGGCTCTCACTCTAGAAGCAATACTAAACCCACAAAATAAACTAGAAAACTTCAAGGCCTTAGGCGTATTCTTAATCAAAACGGAACTAATAGAACGCATCTAAAAACGTAATAACCTACCAAATCAAAATCACATAAACAAACAAACATCCACCATACCCAGCTCCCTTAGTTCTCCTCCCCAACCCCATCGGCATCTATTCCAAATCTCAAAATTCCCAAATTATATATAAGCAACCCCTAAACCCCCCTCTTGGGTTGGACAGACCACCTTCGCCCCTTTCGGAAACACATTAAATGGCCTGGACGGGCCCATGTGCGAAATACGCATCAGTCGGAAAGCGCACGTTAAATCTCCAAAGTAAGTAAGTAAGTAAGTAAGGTAATCGAGTCTGGGCAGGATACATCGGTATTTAATGGTCTCAGCAACGATCAACGTTGTCACGATGACACACAATCAGCCAGGTCAATCATTGGACCCAACACTTTCTAGTCGCGCGCCAAAGTCCCAGCTTCGATTCCCCGCATGGGTACAATACGTGAAGCGCATTCTGGTGTTCCCCGCCGACATAATGCTGGAATATTGCTTAAGGCGGCATAAAACTCACTCACTCAATCTATTTTGTCGTTTGTTACAAAACAAACATGTTTGTGAAGGGTATGTATTCTCCCCCCAAAGCCCCCAAGGTGATGTGCATCGCGCAGAATACACGTAAAATCCAGTGCTGCATAGTTTACCCTTGGAATATGAGCACCATGGGTTAAAGTGATATGTGATATTAACATGGCATGTGTTGGTGTCATTATACACGGACGTTTGTGTTACATCTCATCTAAACGTATTCTGTTTATTTAATAGTTGCATTCAATTGAAAACAATCGTACAAGCCACATGTCATGCTGTGCCTTGCTCACTCTCAATTATTTTCAGGCTTCCGTGATTAAGCTAATCTTAACTATGAGTTACAACAAATCATCAGTATGCAGTTACTCAATCATCCCCATCCCGCGTGAAACACTATTATCATTCAACCTGGATGTATCCTAGTTCTTGTGGCCAGCACATCCAGAAGATATCCCCATGCATGTGTACCTCGTCTCTCAGAGGTTTTCTTAGTTATAACTTTGTCATTATATTTTTATTCATTATGAATCAGAAAGATAAATCAATGTTTTGGAATACCTAATGACGTGCGCGTGATCACGTGACAGATACGGTGAAGACGATTGCGATAACGGGTACTGTAGAGTTTGTTATATTTCCATTGTTTTCATTCCCACTTGTCGCTGTGTAACAGATCCTCTCAAACCTTTCTCCTTGAACCAAGATGAGCGCCTTTCCTCTTAGTTTGACAAAATTCAATGTCGGCAGTACATTTAACTTAGAAGTTAGAATAATCCTGAACTAAAGTGGTGACGACGGCGCCAAGTGACCGCCTGCTGTTTTCTAAAACGAGAACATTCAAATCATAAGCGCCTCAGCAAGAGCGGTGTCACCATGGTTTTACAGTCGTAATCTATTTCGCACGTGCTGCACGAAGTTTCTTGTCACAACAAGACGGGTAACCAATTTTATCAACAATCTCCAAGCTGGTCTGTGTATACTACCAAATAAGTCAGGTGCTGTATGCCCATATCAGTATATTATCATGTACAAAGCAGAAGAACATTATCACAATAATGACAACTCCGGAAAATGTTTGAATGATCTTCAAAGCATGCGCCTAGAACACTTCACACAGCTGCCGAATGAGGCCACCTGGCCACGTGACACAGTGTTATTGGTTTGCCAAGCAATGTACATGTTGCTCGTTATACCGTGTTTCTGTTATAAGACGACGTGTGGGAGCAGTAACTCCCTGTCATCGCCTTCAGTGTGATTATCACGCAACGTTTAAGTAAATCAAAATAGCATCCGCAAATATATCTGATGGTGTAGTATCATTTTCTAATGTTGATATGTTGATATGTTATATATCAAAAGGCCTTCTTCACTTCTGTGATGTGATTGTTTTTTGTTACATTGTTTGTAGTTGAGCAGATTGTAGTTATCTATAAATCACGAAATCATCTAAATATCATGATACACCGTAATCATCACTGTTTGCTTATGTACATGTAAACTACATTCATATGTTGTAGGTATACATCTGAAGTATGACAAAGACAGAGTCAATCTCGAAAAAGTCCACATCAACACAGAAGGAGACCTGGTCAACTGGAAGTCTGACACCAGACCTGCACGGGAGGGGAGACTGAAGACGTACACTGGCACATGTAGCACTGCCCCCCTCCCCCGGACTGGCTGTCCCCAGTACTGGGAGGTAATGAACAGGGTCAGTCTGCACAAACCACTCACAGAGGAGGCCCTCATCCTGGAGGTGTGTGTGTGCAGGGAGGAGCAGAGGGACGTGTCTCATTGTATCAATCCACAACCCAGCTCCTACAGCCTGGATGTCGCCTACTGTACTTCACACGGCGGGATATGCAGGAAGGCATGGAAGGAGGAGAAGCGTGTGCTTTGTCTGCCTGACATTCTCCCCAACACAGCAGGGGCATCACACACACTACATTACGGTGTTGTCTATGATGACGTCAGGAAGAAGATTGTCTTCATTGATGTGAAGGAGAACAAAGTGATGTCGACGTTAGACAATGTAGACTCTAGTCAGCCACTGTGGCCGATGTTCGGGGTGTATAACCCATCTCTCCTCACTGTCAACATGACACTTGTAGTGGGCAGCGACATCAACATGACAGAGGAGAAGAAAGCAATGATTGTCAAGGCGCTGTCGTGATGGTAACAATGATTCTAAAGGCGCTGTCGTGATGGTGGCAATGATTGTCAAGGCACTGTCGTGATGGTGACAATGATTGTCAAGGCGCTGTCGTGATGTCGTGGCGTGAGTGAGGTGGCCATGATGTGGATAATGAACAAATATAGACTTGTAGATATTTACTACTCAGAAACAACTATATGACAAACAAATAACTTATGTATGACGGGAGGCTTTCAGTATGAGCTGACTGTATAAAATATCCTCGTGTATCCATGTAGTGGCCATGTATTCTACTCACAGTTAAAAACAACTGTCATTGAAAATTATGAATAGTTAAGATGAAACAGATAGTATTTTCCAGTTACTGACTATCAGTCTGAAGGCAACACACATCCAATGATACCACACAAGAATGAAATAACTGAAGCGTTCGTAAAATGCACGAGATCAACAATTTTGAGAGGCAGATAGTGACAACAAAGATGAAAACAATATATTGTGACTTACTATAAATACAAGTGAGCGAGTGAGTTGAGTTTAACGCCGCTTTTAACAGTATTCCAGTAATTTCGCTTCATGTCAGCTTAATGTGGAAGAAAAGCCCGAAGTGATGCAGGCCTCAGACATTTACCACTTCGATGAAACCCACGAGCAAGGGTATGGTGCTGACAAACATAGAAACATAATCGGGGCGAACCGGGATTCGAACCCACAATCATAGGTTTCGGGCGCACCCAAGGGACGCAACTCTGCACAGCGAATCGAGGCGCCTTAGACGACTGGGCCACCCGTGCCCCCAATAAATAAAAGAAGATCGGGGGATCAAAATTGGGTCTCCTATGTACGCATTTATTATTATTATTTGGCATGGTCGCGCTTTGAATAATAATGTTGACACTTTTTGCTTGTTAAGTACAAGCGTCAATGTCTCTTACAAGATCTCAAAGGTGACAAAGACATGTATTTGGAACATTCAAACAGAAATGTTAAGACATTTATCAACAAGACTGATTCAATAAAATACGAGTCAAAATGTTTACATTATTATTCAATGATTCAATGTATTTTTGCACCCGTGATATATATTGTATGAATTAAATCAATACAGCTACATCGAATGTTGATCTCTTAAAGATGTAATGTACGTGATCGCTACACTTGAGCAGCAAGACTTTCTAAAAGTCCCCTGAGATTGATACACAGCCTGTTTATGTAATTCACGTATTATCAATATGCTCTGAATTGAACATATATATCAATACTTTGGTAATGAATCATCTCATGAAAGGTATGATCTACTCCTTATTAATGTGGAAATAATATTTTAGCTGAGGAGGAAAACGGCTTCAGAAAAAAAGGCGCTGTTTGGATCACCTCTACAGCATTTGTACAGTAATCAAAAACAGAAAACAATCAAAATTATCAACATTTTGCTGTTTTATTGACATGAAAAAGGCGTTCGATAATGTGAACATAGATTGTTCATGGTTTAAAATATTAAAAATGGCATAAATGGAAAAATGTTTGAAGCTGTTAAAAGTTTATACAGCAATGTGAAGTGCGATGTGAGAGTAAATGGTTTGTTTTCACCCTGGTTTAAGGCCCCACAGAGACTAAAGCAAGGATGGCTTGTGTCTCCATTATTGTTCTCTATTTACATTAACGACCTGGCGGACAATATAAAAAGCATGAACTGTGGTGTTGACGTAAATGATTTAAATATTGGTATTATGTTATATGCTGATGCTATTTTATTATTGGCGCCCACGGAGGACAAACTGCAAAATTTGTTAAACATGGTTAATGAATGGTGTCAAAAGTGGAGACATACAGTTAATCCTACAAAAACTAAGATTGTTCAGTTTAGGCCCACCAATACAAATTACTCCAAAACCAACTTTTCAATTGGAGAAACTCTTTTGAAGTATAGTAACAATTATAAATATATTGGTTTGTGGCTCAACGAACACATGGACTTTAAGTTCACAATTAATGAATGGCTAAATCGGCAAGCCGAACTTTTGGTGTTTAATGTACAAAATATTTTGATGCTGGTGGTTTTACTTATGCAATTTACACTAAATTGTATGAATCCTTGGTTCAGCCTTTTATGCAATATGGTGCTTCCATCTGGGGGTTGTATGAACATTAAAAGTTAAAGCAAAACAAAGCATGTAATTTTTTTCTCGTCCTTAGACGTAATGCGTCAAATGTCGCCGCCAGGGGAGACATGGGTTGGAAATCATGTGTCACTAAGCAACGCATAGAAGTATTTCGTTTATTCTTCCACCTTAACAGTATGGAAATTACACGATTGCCCCGTGTCATTCATGCTTGGTCAAGTAAAAGAGGGCGCTCATTGGAAAAGGAGGTTTACAAGCTAGCTAGAAACTTAAACGTCGTCGACTTGATCGATGTCCATTCGATGACACGTGGTCAGTTCACTCTGATTATGCAAAAAAAAATTCAAGTGGATGAAACTGCTTGGTTTTCAGAGCTGTGGAATGATGCTAATTACCCTAATGGTAATAAGCTGAGGACCTATAGATTACTTAAGACGGATCTAGCGCCTGAGCCCTATGTCTTATCACATTATATCCATAGAAGCACCAGAAAATATTTGGCAATTTTACGCAGTGGCAGCCTCCCCATTAACATTGAAAAAATGAGGTACAGTCGTCCCCCTGTCCCCCTTCAGGATAGACTTGCCCTTTTTGTTTTAACTCAGTAGAGACTGAGGTCCACTTCTTAATTGATTGTAACATGGATGATGATTTACGTTATGATGTAATGAACGCTATGTGTGAATGTATGCCAGATTTCAAAAACTTATCTTCAACCGAGAAATTTATAACATTACTCAGATGTGAACACGGATGTTATACTCTTTGTAAGCTAATTGATCAAATGTTCCAAAGACGCTTGTCACTCATTTGTTTCTGTGTGCGCTTTTCTGCATGTATGTCACTATGCTTGCGAATTGTAGTATTTCTTCTTGTGATCAATGTTATACTTGTAATGTTTATGTTGAGTGTCGGTGAGGAAAATGCACCCCTGTTTTGTGTGTGTGTGTGTGTGTGTTGGGGGGTGGGTGGGGGGGTGGGGGGGTGTGGGGGGGGGGGGGGGGGGGTGGGGGTTATAATGTACGTATTGTGTGTGTGTGGGCGTGTGTGTGGTATAATGTACGTATGGTATGTGTGTGTGCGTGCGTGTGTTTGTGTGTGCGTGTACTTGTGCGTGTGTGTGTGCGTGTGTGCGTGGTATGGTGTTGGGTGGATGGGTATCTACGTGTTTGTGTATGATTGCGTGCGTGACTTTATAAGTAATTTGGCGTGTGCGTGTGCGTGTGCGTGCGAGCGTGCGTGTTCATAACCCAACCTTAATTTTAAACATTGTGTTAGTTTATGTTTTATTTTACCTTATCCAGATCATGGCGTTATAATTTGCTTTTATGTCTAAGTGTCTCGTAGGCCATACCTGGTCGGACGTTATATTTTATTGTTCGTGTACGTGTTTTAGTATGAAGTGTATATAACATGTGATACTATAATAAACATTATTCTCGCTCTCTCCCCTCATCTTTATGCCTTTCAAAGACTTCTTAAACACAATTTTCAGTATTAAGAACCAGTCAGGTGTGATATAATGCAACAACATACCCCATAGCACATTTCTGTCCTTTCTCAATTTGTCTCTTGTATACGGCCAGGGCATTGTCCAATTCTGTACATTTCTCCTTGCGCACCTGTCTGTTGCCACCACTGCTTAGCTGCATCACAGTTCACTTTTCAGATGGGATGGGAGCCGGCACTCTGAAGACTTAGTTTCCCATCCCACCCCTTGACATGATTAGTTGCACCTGGACCAACGGTGCCGTAGTGGTTCCACAAACTGCGACCATGGTCACCTTCCTTTCCAAAACGTATTATTTCTGTTAGCTGTACTGTTGTGCCATATATTTCACATAGGGCTAAGAGGTTATATGAAATGCTTTGTTGTAAACCCGTCATCATTCTCAATGTCAAGGTTCACTGTCAACTACATGTATGTCCACTGTTAATGTGTATATGTTGTACTTTTGTCCAATTATCCTTATATACTAATAAGATGTCTCTCTCTCTATATATATACTGTGATCCTATCAGTTACTGATCAGTGAATATCTTTATGTGATATAACTGCTAAGTCTCCTAACTTTGCACACAAAAAGCCGCGTCCATGTTGTAGTTGATAGAGAGAGGGGGCAGTGTTTCGATCCCCTGACCACGTCATACCAAAAGACATTACATGATGGTATTTCTTGTTACCCTGCCTGGAGCGCGACATTAAGTGTGCTAGCACTACAAACACAGTGCATCCGCACACATACAAGCAGCCAGACACGTGCATGCAACAATCATGATCTCATTCTCACCTTACCATGTTGTGTTTCAATAACTCAATTAACCTATCGATACATGAGTCAAAACTTTTAGCGCTAGGATGTACCGGCCAGAATGGACAAACCAAGGACTGGTCGGCTCGGGGTCTATACTGTGTCTGAGTGGGGTGTCCATGTTAAACTGCGGCATGGTATCTCAGTAGGCTAACACTATAAAACTGACATGATATAAGTATGGACTGGTACAAACAGCCACACATGTGTAATCCTTATTTGGTAATAAACAGACAAGTCACCTTTACTTCTGTGAAAAACACAAAATGGAGAGGCGGAATTTTAGTTTGAAATCAAACACAATCTAAAATCTGAGTGAAGCCTATTGCCCGAATGAATTCTTAACTCGATTGTGTAAGTTGAATGCTTCTTGCCATCAACATGTGATGGATGAGGATATGATCACAGTTATCTTTTGTTGGGTGAATTACACTTGGGTTTTCACGTCATGTATTATTATTTTGCATTTTGTTTCATGCAGTATGTTATGTTAGAAGTGACTGGCTTGACGAATGTCTATGTGTATTAATATGGTAGTTACACACTTCTATAAATATGACAAACAGTAAAATCAGCTAAAAAGACTTCTTGTACACTGACCATTGTTTGCAGTTTTAAGTTGTGGGAGATATAGGACTTGATGTTGATGAAGCATCACAATCACATGTACCGTTATCTCACATACACTTGTATTATTGATGTCATATAGTCTAAATATATATTTTATCATATGATCAAAATGATTTCCCAAAATGTTGATGGCCCTGAATGTTGTTTGAAATATTTATTCATTCTACCTCTGCTCGTGGGTTTCAACAAAGTGGTAAACATCTGAGACCCACATCACTTGATTGCAGTCAACATGAAGCTGACACACCGTGATATAACTGAAATACTCAAGTGACCCTTAACCCCACTCACTTAGTAATGATCTATCAACATGATGGGTTAACGTGTACAATATCTTCAAACATACACCTACATTTCAATATCTGTGACAGGCCCATGACGAGAGACGTGGTTACTCTTGTCCTAACATATACTTAAAGATAGTCCATATGGTTAACTAAAACATCAACAGTCGGGCATCCAAATCACTATATTATGACACAACAAACGTCGGATGTACAAACTGACCAAATAACGCATATTCAGACACACAAAAACAGTCGGATATGACAAACAGTTCAGGTACACACCTGGGACACACCAGACAGTGGAACAATACCACATATGTTTGTCGAACAAACAATCCAGAGACAGACTACCAATGGATTTCATAAACCTTAGAACGAATAAATATTCCCACATAACCGACAGGAGTACATGGAGATATACAAACAACATGCATCAACAGTCTCGCACAGATGCAGACAGACAGTTTTGCTGATTTGCCTGATCCAGGTCGCATGATAGTTCATGGTCTATATCAAACGAATAACTCATGCTGGGTTGTATGTTCAGTATCAACCACTGGTTTACCTCTCCCATGCTGGGTTGTATGTTCAGTATCAACCACTGGTTAACCTCTCCCATGCTGGGTTGTATGTTCAGTATCAACCACTGGTTTACCTCTCCCATGCTGGGTTGTATGTTCAGTATCAACCACTGGTTTACCTCTCCCATGCTGGGTTGTATGTTCAGTATCAAACACTAGTTTACCTCTCCCATGCTGGGTTGTATGTTCAGTATCAACCACTGGTTAACCTCTCCCATGCTGGGTTGTATGTTCAGTATCAACCACTGGTTTACCTCTCCCATGCTGGGTTGTATGTTCAGTATCAACCACTGGTTTACCTCTCCCATGCTGGGTTGTATGTTCAGTATCAACCACTGGTTAACCTCTCCCATGCTGGGTTGTATGTTCAGTATCAACTACTGGTTAACCTCTCCCATGCTGGGTTGTATGTTCAGTGCCTACCACTAGGTTACCTCCCATATACTGGATTGTATGTTCAGTAAAAAACCACTGGTTTACCTCCACATGTTTGGTTGTATGTTCTGTGTCAACCACTGGTTTACCTCCACGTGTTGGGTTGTATGTTCAGTATCAACCACTGGTTTACCTCCACATGGTGGGTTGTATGTTCAGTATCAACCACTGGTTAACCTCCACATGTTGGGTTGTATGTTCAGTATAAACCACTGGTTTACCTCTCCCATGCTGGGTTGTATGTTCAGTAACAACCACTGGTTTACCTCCACATGTTGGGTTGTATGTTCAGTATCAACCACTGGTTTACCTCCACATGTTGGGTTGTATGTTCAGTATCAACCACTGGTTTACCTCTCCAATGCTGGGTTGTATGTTCAGTAACAACCACTGGTTTACCCCTCATAAGCTGGGTTGTATGTTCAGCATCAACCACTAGTTTCCCTCTCCCATGCTGGGTTGCATGTTCAGTATCAACTATTTGCTTACTTCTCACATGCTGGGTTGTATGTTCAGTATCAACCACTGGTTTACCTCTCACATGTTGGGTTGTATGTTCATTATCAACCACTGGTTTACCTCTCCCATGTTGGGTTGTCTGTTCAGTATCAACCATTGGTTTACTTCTCACATGCTGGGTTGTATGTTTAGTATCAACCACTAGTTTACGTCTCCTATGCTGGGTAGTATGTTCAGTATCAACCACTGGTTAACCTCTCCCATGCTGGGTTGTATGTTCAGTATCAACCACTGGTTTACCTCCCACATGTTGTGTTGTATTTTCAGTATCAACCAATGCTTTACCTCTCACATGCTGGGTTGTATGTTAGGTAGAGGTGACAGTGACCCGGTCGTCACGGGTACTGCAAATCACTCGTAGAATTGAATTTTCGGGATAAGACTATATATTCAAATCCCAGGTTAGCGTGTGATCGATCATACGTTTGTTTGATCCATGCATACTCTTGTGATAAACGTGATAAGACTTTAGGCTTTCCTCCCTTTTAAACTCATACTGACATATATAAACATGGAAGATGTCAGTGGCTTATTTTTGCTTCGATTTCATCATTAGTTTAGATGATCAGTATGTTAATGTTTCCATCTGTATGGGGGAACGTAAGACCATTCTGTACCTTGGAGTTTGTCATCCGTGATCTATATGTCTTGTTTCCTTCTATGTGGATTGACATAGGAGCACTCTGGACCTTGGAGTTTGTCATTAGTTCAGATGATCTATACGTCTTGTTTCCTTCTATATGGATAGACATACGAGCACTCTGGACCTTGGAGTTTGTCATTAGTTCAGATGATCTATATGTCTTGTTTCCTTCTATGTGGATGGACATAGGAGCACTCTGGACCTTGGAGTTTGTCATTAGTTCAGATGATCTATATGTCTTGTTTCCTTCTATATGGATTGACATAGGAGCACTCTGGACCTTGGAGTTTGTCATTAGTTCAGATGATCTATTCGTCTTGTTTCCTTCTATATGGATAGACATACGAGCACTCTGGACCTTGGAGTTTGTCATTAGTTCAGATGATCTATATGTCTTGTTTCCTTCTATATGGATGGATACAGGAGCACTCTGGACCTTGGAGTTTGTCATTAGTTTAGATGATCTATTTGTCTTGTTTCCTTCTATATGGATGGACATAGGAGTACTCTGGACCTTTGTGTTTGTCATTAGTTTAGATGATCTATTTGTCTTGTTTCCTTCTATATGGATGGACATAGGAGTACTCTGGACCTTTGTGTTTGTCATTAGTTCTGATGATCTATACGTCTTGTTTCCTTCTATATGGATGGATACAGGAGCACTCTGGACCTTGGAGTTTGTCATTAGTTCAGATGATCTATTTGTCTTGTTTCCTTCTATATGGATGGACATAGGAGTACTCTGGACCTTTGTGTTTGTCATTAGTTTAGATGATCTATTTGTCTTGTTTCCTTCTATATGGATGGACATAGGAGTACTCTGGACCTTTGTGTTTGTCATTAGTTCTGATGATCTATACGTCTTGTTTCCTTCTATATGGATGGACATAGGAGTACTCTGGACCTTTGAGTTTGTCATTAGCTCAGATGATCTATTTGTCTTGTTTCCTTCTTAATGGGTGGACATTGGAACACACTGGGTTGTCATTATAAGTATGTCCATGAAAGACATTCATAAAGCAGAACAATGAAACAAACGTACACACGAATCTGAAACAGTGCAGTCTGTAACTTTTTTATTTCATACTAAAATACATATAATTAACAATAGATCTAGATTAACCACAACAATCATCCTACAATAAAACAAACTGCAATGCATGAAGTACCAGCATATGCATAAATAATTTTTTGCTGACATAATAACAAATGGCAACAAAAACGTTGCTTAAAAAGAAGGCTAAACTACAATTTAACTTATCCAAACCAATTTAAAAATCAGCTCGACAGTCTTCAAACAAACACACATAAATCGAATTTTTCTAAAACATATCACAGACTTAATACAATTCATAGTTTGTTAGAGCAAAATGGTATTTTTAATGGCTGGGCTTTCACAGAGAAATAAATAATAATCTGAAATAACAGCAGTTTTTATTTGTTTGTTTGTTTGTTTCACGCCGCACTCAGCAATATCCCAGCTGTAAATAATCAAGTATGGACCAGACAATCGAGGTACAGACCTCATGAGCATTGATCTACGCAATTGGGATATGATGACATGCATCAACCAAGTCAGTGAGCATGACCACCTGAATCTCTAAGTCGCTAAGTTCCTGAAGACCATTTCTAAACGAGATCTTCTCAGGTCGTTTTCCTTACTGATTTATTTGCCAACTACTTCCAGTACTGAATGTGAGTGAGTAAATCTTGTTTACCTCCACAGCAAGAAATAAACATGCCTTAAGTTGTGGGTTATTGTTATCTAGTTTCGGCCATGCAAACCAGAGACCCAAGTATGTTCAAGGATCCAAACCAGTCAGGCACGAAGTCAACGAGACTTATAACCATTTTAGCTGTTTGTTAGGATAAGCGTGAGGTACAGCCAATTTATTGCTTATAACCCGATTTTAACAGGGCAGGGATGAGCAAAGGAAGCATCAAAGTAGGCAAATAGTGTAAAGTGCTAAAACTTTCGATTTTCAATTAATGTTTTTGAGAAAAGTTGAATTGTTTTGTCATCCATAAACCAAGTAATCTAACAAATATAAAGTTGTGTTGACTCATATTATTGCATTTGATTTCTGATGATCTCATAAAATAAAATGCATTTCTGAAAAAAAAAAAAATATACAAGATTCAAAACGTTATTGACGTGATTAAGGTGCTCCACGTGTGAAATGGCAGTGGTTTACTCGAAGGGCTAATGCATATATACATGAATGTTGAGTAGGTTAGGGATCTATATAACAGTCTTAATACCTACACATGGACTGGTCATCATTTTAACAGTAGAACAATGGGGATGTCTGTTCTTAAAAGAAAACAACTCATAATACCTCAACTAAAGTTATACCTTGTATTAACTGATGCCGAGGATACTGACTGTGAATCATGATACTGTGATGCACTCTGCATCCTTTGCTGATGAGCACATCCAGTGTATTATCAACACGTGCTACCACACACAGTGTTCGAAACGTATCTGTTTTAGTATCACATATATTATCTAACACATCAAATTGATTTAATGACTAACATCTTCTTTAAAAACAACGATGATCATGACTGTTATTGTTTAACAAACAACACTAAATAACACTAATTCTGTCATCAGAACATTATCTTGCAACTAACATTCCCCTTAAGGAACAGTATGTGGAGAATTATACTTTCAAGTCATAGAGCCCCATATGATATACATCAAGGATACCAACATAGTGCCCACTTCTCCCAAGGAGAATACATAGAAGATACCATGTGTAAGACAGATTCTGATATCAAATGTAGTCAAAATCAGAATTTGATATTAACATACATACAATATTGTTATTTTTACTTAATCTTCTATTTTCCACACATATTACCAAAAGGTAAGTGTGTGGGTGAGTTGGGTTTACTGCCGCTTTCAACAGCACTATCGCAGTGTGTCAGATTAATGTGGGAGGAAAGCCCGAGGTGATACAGGTCTCAGACGTTTACCACTTCGGTGAAACCCACGAGCATGGGTATGGTGCTGACAAACCCAGAAACATAATCGGGGAAACCAGGATTCAAACCCATAATCATAGGTTTCTGGTGTGCCTAAGGGATGCAGCTCTGCACAGCCAATAGCGGCGCCTTATAATAAGATGACTGGGCCACCCATGCCCACTTAAAGGTAAGGATAGGGTGGAGAGCAACCTGTGCCTTGGTAAACAATGCTGTGTGACGTCTCCCAAACATCACTGGCACAATGTGCCGGCAACAGTCTTCTAGCCACAGTCAGTAATAGACATTTATGCATAAGTGGAAACCATGAACTTTAGGAAATCAATTTGTTCATGAAGCTTGATAATGTTTGTTATGAGGGTCAATATGAATATGCCCTGTCAGAGATTTATTGGCAAATATAAGTTAGCTACGCGATAACTGCAAAGAATAGTGAAGAATGAAGCCTTGCTTATTTCACGATAAAACATTGTTCTATCATGACCTCATATCTCGAGATTCGAACATGCGCTCACAACTTGAAGACATCGTATATATGACAACGCTATGTTTGAGAGGGGAGTGTCTAGTGAGTTGTTTCCCAAAGATGTAGCTGGGCAACACAGATTAACGCGATGACCCAACGATCATATCCCAAAACAGGAGAGATATGGTAATTGTTATTTGGAGAAAAGGTACAGATAATCGACGTGAGGATAGTGAGAATATGTGGGAAATACCCATAAAATGGACCTTCTATTGAGGGAGTCATCATTATGTAAATACGGGTAAATATTTTTAAAGCTCGTACATTTTATCATCATTCTTAAACAGGCCGTACATAATGTTGATATCTCATATAAGAAATAAACGAGTCATTGTCATTGTTTAGCTTTCAATAAAATACTGCAGGGAGAATAAACCATGATTTGCAGTGTTTTATTGTACGATAAACAACAACCACGAGTCCTTTTTTACCTAAATGTTCTACAAGCTACCATAATGAACAGGGTGCAAGATATCACATTTGCCATCTAATAATGAGATTCATACAACTGATGGTTAACTGGTCAACACTTATGATCCGCCACTGATTAGGATAGGTAAATATATTACACATATTGTCAGAGAAGTACATATCTTGGCAAAAGTATTGCATCTTTTGCGGAGAAAAAAGGGCAGCCTTTCAGAGGATTCGTTGAAATATTGTGATACTAACGCAGTACACCATCAATGCTTCAATGTCAGTATTAGGGCTAGGTACTAACGGAGTATACCATCAATGCTTCAATGTCAGTATTAGGGCCAGGTACTAATGGAGTATACCATCAATGCTTCAATGTCAGTACTAGGGCCAGGTACCAGTGCAATTGACCATCAATACTTCAATGTCAGACCCAGGTCCAGGTATTAGTCTATTGAATACTTCAATGTCAATATTAGGTCCGAGCACTAGTTAAGTATAAATGCTTTAATGCCAGTATTGTCCCCAGGTGCGTCTAGTGAAATGTTTCAATGACATAAGTAGGCCTATATACTCATGCAGTAGACCATCAATGCTTCCACGTCACTAATAAGGTCAATGTGCTCTTTTACTTGGCCATTACTTCCAAGAGGACTTTAATACTGAATTACCAATGTGTCTGATCCATGATAGTACATGCTTATTTCAGTGTACTGTTTCCACTCAGTACTTGGAGAAGGGGCCTGGTTCGTGTGGCAGCAGCACTCGGTGTGGGTAGAAGGAGTGGTCCACTGAGTAGTGGAGCAGGTTTGTCAGACTCGACATGTACATGTCAGCAAACCGGGCCAGTCGTCGAGTGAAGTAAGTTGGATTGTGGTATGTCCGAAACAGACTGCCAAACCGTGGATTGAACACCCCTTTTGTGTAGTTTCTGCCACAGAAGTAAAATAGTGATTATTAAATTCAACTGATATTATGGAAATGTGAAATATTCATAACATTCAACTCATTGAAAAGATCACATGTTGCAATATACTGACTATGATAAACCAAACTCTAAGCATAGAAATTAACATTCACAAAGAGGTGATTATCAGAACACTGTTTGAAAGACATCTTCATGTTTACTGCAAACCATCAAGAAAGAGGAAAGGAAGTCAAACAGTCCTGCTAAATATATGGAACAAGTATTTTATTTAATTTGCAATGGGTAGAAGGTAGCCCAATGGAATGATGAAGTGAAACTTTGCTGCATTCTTCATTCCCGACATTACAATCTATTCCAAGCCTGGCCCCAGATGGTTTCAGACAGCCTCACCTGAGATCATCTCTCTCTTTCAGCCATGCCTGTATCACTTCTCTCTGTTCAGGGCTGTCCTGACACTGGGAAATAAACAATAATGTCAGTTGGGTTTCTCAAGATCCACACAACCATCAACCATTCAAAATCATCATAATTTTAGACTCTACTTCTATATGATTTCACATGTGAAGTACCACATAAATATGCTTTCACATAAACTTAATGTCTCATATTCGTCCATTTGCTTTCTGGTGACATTCCAAAAGACAAATTTTCGAAAATATCAACTCTCCAAACCATACTACCAATACTTCCTGGATAGAATTGTTTCCTGAGAGTATAAGGTCATAACCATGTAACAACGTTGACCGATTGGCGAGGGACTTTGATGTGGCTGATTGCGTATCATCATGTCCTGATATTATGGACCATTGCTCATGCTTTCAGTCACCAGTTTGCCTGGTCCAACTCGATTATTTACAGGCCAATGTGACAAAGCTGTAATATTGCCGACTGTGGCCACAAAAGAAAAACTACATCATGACTTATTCAAACAGCTGGTGATTTAGTTATTTATAGATTCTTCTTCACAGATTACAAAATATTTAAGGTTTTCAACATGTTTCTATTTTGAGCTATGGTGCCATTGGCTTTATATGGAGGTCACATCAACACAGTATGATTTCTCACCTTGTGGTGTGTATGAATATAACTATACTCATATGACAAGAATATCTCAACCGATTGTATATAAGACTGTAGGGAGATTGTCACACCAACACTGTATGATTTCTCACCTAGCGGTGTGAAAGAATATAACAATACTCATGTGACAAGAATATCTCAACTTATTGTATATCAGACTGCAGGGAGATTGTCACCCTGACACAATATGATTTATCACCTTGTGGTGCATTAGAATATAACAATACTCATATGAGAAGAATGTCTCAACTGATTGTATGTCAGACTGCAGGGAGATTGTCACTCCGACACAATATGATTTCTCACCTCATGGAATATAACTATACTCGTATGACAAGAATGTCTCAACTGATTGTATATCAGACTGCAGGGAGATTGTCACTCCGACACAATATGTTTTCTCACCTCGTGGTGTGAAAGAATATAACTATACTCGTATGACAAGAATATCTCAACTGATTGTATATCAGACTGCAGGGAGATTATCACCCTGACACAATATGATTTCTCACCTTGTGGTGCATTAGAATATAACAATACTCATATGACAAGAATGTCTCAACTGATTGTATATCAGACTGCAAGGAGATTGTCACCCTGACACAATATGATTTCTCACCTTGTGGTGCATAAGAATATAACAATACTCATATGACAAGAATGTCTCAACTGATTGTATATCAGACTGCAGGGAGATTGTCACTCCAAAACTGTATGTTTTCTCACCTTGTGGTGCATAAGAATATAACTATACTCATATGACCAGAATGTCTCAACTGATTGTATATCAGACTGCAGGGAGATTGTCACTCCAAAACTGTATGTTTTCTCACCTTGTGGTGCATAAGAATATAACTATACTCATATGACCAGAATGTCTCAACTGATTGTATATCAGACTGCAAGGAGATTGTAACCCTGACACAGTATGATTTCTCACCTTGTGGTGCATAAGAATATAACAATACTCATATGACAAGAATATCTAAACTGATTGTATATCAGACTGCAGGGAAATTGTCACTCCAACACTGTATGATTTCTCACCTAGCGGTGTGAAAGAATATAACAATACTCATATGACAAGAATATCTCAACTGATTGTATATAAGACTGTAGGGAGATTGTCACACCAACACTGTATGATTTCTCACCTAGCGGTGTGAAAGAATATAACAATACTCATATGACAAGAATATCTCAACTGATTGTACATAAGACTGTAGGGAGATTGTCACACCAACACTGCACGATATCTCACATACTGATGCATATAAAGGATATTACAATATTAATAGCATGTAAATTTTACATCAAATTGTATATGTATATCAGAATATATCCTTATCCCATCTCACACTATGCATTGATTCCTTCTCCTTTCCATACGTAAGTGGAATTGTGCGTGAAGTTTTAAGCATTTAAAACCATTTTGCCAAAACACATCACTGTAATTCCCATTGTGTGGCCTAAAGTCACCTCACACGACTTGATCACCTGACTACCCCTACCACAGGCTAGAGGAGCCGTGATTCCGTGAAGTAGATAAGGGAGGGCTATGCCAATCTAGACTGTCATGTCTCCAAACCAACATAGTTAAATTTGATCCTTGATTCTTATATATATGTCAATGCAATAGAGTAACCCGTCTTGATGATACAGTATGTTAGGATGTAGGACAACTGTACAAGGCTATTCTGCATCATGCATCGTGGCCGTGGTCGTCCAGCAGGCGGTAAACATTCAGCTGTTAAGAATGAAGTGGATAACAGATCCTCTTCCATTGATAGTGAAGTGATGGTCAATGATGAGGTTTTGAAAATAAACACAATAAGGGTCTGATCGCTTAGGTTTCATGGTTGACGATAGTACAGACTTCTTCAACGAAGCCTTGAAATACCGAACCATTGAATGCTTGACAGTTGCGAAGGCAGATTATATTTCAATCTCAGGAGCTAAAAGTACTGCTGACATTCTTTAGAGATAGAAAATATGCCCCTGATATTGATTTTGATGTCGACCCTCAGGAAAGGGGTGTCATTGTCGCTCAAATGTCGATCCACAAGTGGAGGAATCATGTCAATCCTGATGTTGATTCGTAGACAATAAGTATCGATGTCGATCTATTTATCAGCCAGGTGAGGGCCCATTTGCATATCGTTGTCGAAACTGATGGCGCTCTTGGGGTGGTGTATAGCGATAGTAATAAGACATAGATTTGTAATCCGAATATGATGTGTATCGATCGTAATGGCCAAGCGATGGGTAACGGTCAGGCATGTGAAGGTATGGATCCAGAGAGTGAGGGGTATTGATCCCAGCTTTGATGGCAATCCCTATAAACGTTACGTCAATCCCCTGCTGAATATTGATAGGCATGGTGTTGTGGTTCTTGGTCAACGCAACAGTCTTCATCAGTACAATGTCGACCATGTTGATCTTGATGTATGGCATTCTGTGTCTTATCAGTCTGTATCGATGTAGATCTCTAGAATTATTGATCCCTCTAACATCGATCCCTCGAATGTAGAACCCTCACATGTCGATCCTGGTCAGAGGGGCGTGATCTATCTCAACTCTTCCTTTCTGTGAAGGGTGTAGACAAGGACGAAGTATGCTGGGGTCCATACTACAGGAGGAGTCTGGGGAGCACTAAATCATCTCATGGGGGAGCGAGAAGACAGACTCTCAGCTGAAGGTTGGGGAATGCTGGGAGGGTTGGTAGCAGTAGTTGTCACACTTGTGATGCTTGTCGTGAAGGAACTGTCTTTTGCCAAAACTGTACATATGTCTGTAGTTGAGCAAATATCGGCTCAGTAACAGGTGTGCAGGTGACAGTCAACAGTCATCGTCAACTGATAATGAAGTCAGGGTGGTCACATGAGGTTGTATTAAGACTGTCCTAGATGTAAACTGTCTATCGATATTCCATTTCTGGCATTTGCGAAAGGCTTCTTCTGTCAAATGGGAAGTTTGCGGGTAGCGGTGAGCCAGGGTCCAGGGCAATCACAACAGAGATCATGAGGACCGGCTGGTGAATAAGAACGTCTGCATATCTTGCAGGATGGGCGTTTATCATGATTATTTCCCATAATTGGCCGTAAATGTTTATAAGATGTAAGAGGAAACCCTTTAAAAAAACAAGAATAAATTCTCTACTTATTCAAAACACGTCCCTACACAATGGTGATGAGAGAAAGAGTGATGTGGCAGGGGTAGTCAGATGATAAAGTCATGTAAGGTGACTTTAGGTCACACTCAGGGCACACATACACATGATGGTATATCATCTGGTGATGCAGCTTAGTATAGCTAGAAGACACACATACTCATGATGTTAGGATGATATCTCACCTGATGTTTTTCTATGAGTTGTTGTAGAGATACCAGCCACCTCACAGCTGACTTGTATGCAGGGTCGTTCTGCTGTTCAATCTCAGCCTGAAGTAAACACTAAATGGTATCCATTTCCTATTGTCTAGAAGGAGTTCTTGCTTTCCTGATTTATAGTGATAAATGGACAGTTTCACTGGGTTCTTATCGTTTGTAATACTTTGCCCTGAGATGTTTCTGAGAGAGAAAGTATGGGTGTGACTGTAGCTATTTTTATATACCATCACAAGTAGGTTGAACTAAAGAAGCAAACACATCCTTGTTTATTATAAGGAATCTCCTGGACTCAATAGCCACCGAAGCTTTGTTTCCGAAGTGATGCCAACAGCTCCATCCATTGCTCCTATCACTGACTTTCTCTCGCTCGTGAGTGTAGTTTGATTAGACAGCTGCATTTAGTGTACTGTCTGTTATTCAGATCATGCTCATAACGAAGCTATGGTTGCGAATGGGTTCAGGGTTTGTATAACAGATGATACTTGGAAGTATTACTAACATAATGTATGTTCAATACAATGTTGAGTATGTGAAACTTTCCAACTGAGTTAAAATTTCAACATGATAGCGTACCTCCAGCTCAGGAATGATAGCACCAGTTCTCCAGCCATGGCGTAGTGAGGGATCCTGAATGTAGAGGAAATTATACCCAGTGAACTTCAAGCATCATTGAAATTATACATGTCTACAGTCAGAACTGTCAGTGTCGGCAACATACCAGCCCTGAAGTGTCAACCTGCATATAATCAAGTCCAGACAACATGTGATGGGGACCTCTGTAATAACACTGACTGGCATTTGGAATCTGTGTAATACTTTTAGTTGATTTTAATTCAAGAAGTACAATACTGTATCACAATGTATTTCTCCCTGTACATGAAGTACTACAGAGTTCGCTCCCTTTATCCGCACTACTCACAGCAAGATCACTGTACACATGGTCACCAAAGTACAGAACCCTTGAGCCGTACCAGCCGGTCATCTGTGTCAGGAGGTAGAAGTTGCCCTGGTAAAAGAGATTGTGGTAAGTCACAGAATCAGCATCAAATATTGGAAATAACAACATTCAGTTCTTTGGTTGACCAGTAGTACATTCATTATCAGTACTTCAGACTGCAGACAACAAACATAAAGACAAACTCCCTTGCCAGGTCAACAAAACTAGGATGTTGATCTGGAGATACCTGCTGTTGCGTCCAAGTGAACTGAACCGTGCATCATTACCATATTATCTTGAGTACAGTGTGCACATCTTTTTTCCAAAAAACACAGCGGTGTAGAGGCAGGTGCACATTATACAATATATAATGAGTTTTGATGTCTTTTCCCCCAACACAAAGACATTACCATGAGCATGTAACACCTGAAATACCATGTCAACAAATCCGTACTGAAGTATGCAAATTAATCATGTAGTAACACTGTCTGGTTACAAAAAGTGTTCATTGTATATCTGGACTTATGTTTGTAACCAGAGTCCTACCAAAGATCTGATTCCTATATATATAGTAAAGCTGCAATGAAAACAACATGATATTGAAATATATTATTCCTGATAAAATAATAGTTTCAAATACAATTCTGATGATCATTGCATCAAAATAATGAAACTTATATTATTGGGTAATTTCTAACCAATTCATCGGTAGAGTGGGAGAAAACGGGTGTACAACTGATTGCTCTTACTGGCTTAGTTTACAATGGTTTACAATAAATGCACACGATAATCTTAATGTCTGCATATAAAACAATACCTAGTAGAACAGGAAATACAATTTAAACAGTAAATCATCTTGTCCAGTTATATTTTGTTTGTTATCACCTGTTTGTTTCCCTGAATACGCCGATGGGAAAATGTAATATTTTTAAGTGCATAAAACTCGAAAGATTTTGCTTTTTAAAATAACGAATCCCCTAGAGGGGGGCTGCACACTTTAGTCAAGAAATATGATACTGTCTTACAGACTGCGATGATCTGGAGATATCTTCTGATTATATCCTGGTGAACTAATCCGTGCATCATTGCTGTCTTATTGACTGAGACGATCAGATAATGATCTATAGTTACCGTATTCAACGTAATAATCGCCCAGGGGGCTCTCGAAATTAGAAGTAGGTGGCTCTTATTAGAATATTATTTTCCTGAAAAAAACAGACTATTATTTAATTGCCCATAATTAAGGGTGCATATAACACATGAGTGCATATTGTATGCTTATAAATAAGTCTTGTGAACATTGATCAATCGGAAGGGGTGCTAATTGGGATTGTTCACTAGCCAATATATTAGCAAATACCGGCGTGGGCACTTGTTAGAGCGGGGCGCTTATTACGTCGAATACAGTATCTGCTGTTTATATCCAGAGGGAGCCAAGCCATGTGGTCAACATGTACCTGTTGATAAACTTTGCCTTTCTCCAGTGTCTGAACCCGGTCCCAGGATTGGCTGAACAAGGCTGGATCGTAGGTGCGGAATGGCCTGAAAGAACATGTGTGAAGCTGTCCATAAAATACTGTCCAAGGCCACCAGCTTAACATTGAACCTGTGAAGATTCGGGGTAGAATAAATCTTCAGCAACCCATGCTTGCTGTAAAAAGCGATCATGCTTGGCCTTAGAGGTGATGAACGGGATTGGGTGGCCATTCGCTGACTTGGTTGATGCATGTCATCGATCCCAATTGCGTGGATTGATGTTCATGATGTCAATCACTTTTACAAACCTGTAGAGGTTATGAATTCTCTGATGAAATCCTCCTTGGGGCACTTATTGCATTTTCCTTGCTCAAGAAAATCTACATGACATAGTTGTGACCATTTTCCTTAATAAAAAATGTTACCACACAAAAAACTTCGTTTTTGTATGATATACGACCACCCTTACGGGGCCTCACCCCCCACGGCGCCTCACACCAGGGGGAGCAACTCTCACCCAAATCACTTTCCATATGTCAAATGCTGACGGAATGTGGGGAAGTGGGTGGCCGTGCCCCAAGGAGGATTTCATCAGAGAATTCATAACCTCTACAGGTTTGTAAAATTCTCTTTCAGATTAAATCCTCCTTGGGGCACTTATTGCATCAAGACAGACTCCCAAAGATAATCAAGGAAGTGGCATCCATTAGCAACAGGCGTAAATAAATACATCGTATTTTATTATTCAACAGAATAAAATATTGAGTTCAATAAACTGAGACCATTACTGAGCAGTATAACCGGAGGACTGTCTAAAATCTCGAATACTCAATCGGCTAGAGATTAGAACATTGCCCAGTTCGGAGAACTGACTGACCAAACCGAGCACGCTCGCTTGAGTGTTTGTCGAGTTGGTAATGCTTGATGAACGTGCTCGGCTGGCTCCAAACAGCCGCGGAACAGATCTCCTCAATGGGCAGAGCCGTGGCGTACGCTTGTGACGTAGCCACTGCTCTAACCGAATGAGCCTTCAACCTGGTAGGGGGGTCCCTGCCTGTAAGCGTATACGCTGTACAAATGGTTGAAACTATCCACCTCAAGGTAGATTGTTTGCTCGCAGGTGAGCCAGCCTTCCTACCGCCGTAACAGCAAAATAGTTGGTTATCCTTACGGATACCCATAGTTCTGCTGATATAGGCCTTGAGGGTCCTGCGGACATCCAAGACATGTCTTGCAGTGGTCCCCAATTAGGAAGGCTGTGAAAGAGCAGGTAGCTCAATAGGAGCCATTCACGTGGAAGGCGTGTGCGACCTTAGGACGGTAAGAGTCCGGTAGTCGAAAACTGACTCTGCCCCGGTGGAAGACAGTTATTTCGGGATCGGCTGACACACCACAAGGAACGCCGTCTTCCAGCTCAACAGCTGAAGAGAGAGAGACAACAGATCTCGAAAGGAAGGACGGGACAGCCAATCGAGAACGATTGACAAGTCCCAAGGGGGACTGATCCGCCGGACTGGCGGTCGGATCCTGTCCACACCTGCACTAATTGGTGTGCACGCAGAAGTGCCCCGTCGACAGGGACGTGAAAAGCTGCGATAGCTGTAGAGTACCCTTGGACTGTTGATGCGGCCAGGCCGTCATCTAGTCGCGACTGGAGGAACTCAAGTACGGCTACGAGATCTGCAGAAAACAAATCTGCAATCCCTCTATCGACACACCAGCGCGCATAGCAGGCCTATCTATCCTCGTACTGAACGTTTGTCGAATCCCTCCACGAAGCCAGTATTGTGTCTGCAACTCTTGCAGGAATACCGCTCTTCTGGGGGCGATTCCTGACACTGGCCAAGCCACCCATTGAATCCTGGGATTCGGGTGGAGGGCCCCGTTCTGGGATAGGAGGTCCGGTCGTAAAGGTAATATAACAGGAGGCTGAGCCAGAAACCTGAGTATTACTGGAAACCAACTCTGCGCCGACTAAAGAGGTGCCAGGAGCACAATTAGTCGCGCAGGCTGAGTGCCTAGCTGAGACAGGTCCTTGGAAATCAGAGGTACTGGGGGGGAATGCCCACAGAACTGTCCGTACAAACTAGCTGGATGGCGTCCGGTGCCACTGACCTCGGGTCGGTGACTCGGGAGCAGAACATTGGTGTCTGGTGGTTCACCCCAGACGCAAACAGATCCACCTGTAACGACCTTTATAATAGGGAGAAAATCCCGAAGATCCCCGGGTCGAGCCTCCACTCGTGAGGAGCGAGGATCCGGCGAGACAGAGCGTCCGCACGGACGTTGTCCACCCCCGGGAAATAAACAGGTAGCACCCTGATATCGTGAGAGTCGCACCATAGTAGGAACTGCCACGTCTCTTGTCGAAGCGACGGAGACGCTGTTCCCCCCTGCTTCTTGATGAAAGTCATCGCCGTTTGGTTGTCAATCTCTAGACGAACCACTTGGCCACAAAGCAGATCCGGGAAGCGTTGGAACAGCAACCTGACCGCTCTCAGTTCTAGCACATTGATATGCAGTTTGATCTCCTGCTAAGACCATAGTCCCGAGGCAGTGTGATCATTCAGAACGCCTCCCCAGCCGGAGAGTGACGCGTCTGTTTGAACTGTGAGAGACGGAACGGGAGTGTCGAGGGGGAGCCCCCGGGACAGATTCCTGACCTCGGTCCAGCACTGAAGGTGTGTAATGAGCCACTACGGAGTCTCGAGCACAGTCTCGTGATCTTCCGAGTTCGCCCGAAGTCGACGGAGTGCTTGTTGAATGGGACTCATTCTCAAGCGCGCCCGCCAGACCACATCCACTGTCGCCGCCATGTTGCCCAGTAACTGGAGCCATGTACGAGCAGTGTGACTTGCGCTTAAGGAACTTGATATCTTGTGACAGAGATACACGTCCTCTCACCGTGTTGAAATTAGCCCCTTGGAAGACTAGATTCTGAGTGGGGCTCAGATCTAAATTCATGAGATTGACTATCCATCCTAGAGTGATCAGAATGTCTTGTGTAGCTATCTGACTCAGGGATTGGGATAGAGATGTTAGTAACCAGTCGACGAGGTACGGATGGCAGAACCGACCTTTCGACCTGGCCACTTGGGCAGGAAACAACATCAGCTTGGTGAACACGGGGACGTGGAGATCCCGAATGGTAGAACCCTGAACTGATAACACCTCCCGTCGAAAGAAAACCTCAGGTATTTCTTGAACTCAGGGTGTATGGGTATGTGGAGATAGATGTATTTTAAGTCTATTGACATTAGCCATTCTCCTGTCTCGACAGCTGAGATCACTGTTTGGTGACTAGGAAATAAGTCGAGTAGAAGCCCTCGCTTTCCTGTCCCTCGAGACCCGGTTCGATCGCAGCTTTCATAAGAAGTGCGTCGACCTCGGCACGGAGGAATTCCGCCTTCTCTCGGGTAGCAGGCACCGGAGTGTGCTTTATCCCGGAGAAGGGGGGGAGGATGATGTTTCCACCGAGGCAAATGTCCATCCCTTAAAGTGGACGGGGTCCGGGGATTGCGATGTAACTGTCTCCCATTCCTTCAGGAATAGAGCCAGTCGGCCGCCTCCGGGGACATCCGGCTTGAGGCAGTGGACCCCGGCAGTCGGCAGTTCGATAACGGGTCCATCCGGGGGCCTTCGGGCGCAAATGGGAACCCGATGGGTTCCCAGCCCGCGAAAAAGCTGTTGGCCTCTCTTGCTCCTCCCGTCGCCCTTATCTCAAGGAAGCGGCTGCTTCCAAGCAGGTGTGGACTTCTGACCCGGTGCGTCAGCGTAGGAGGGGACAAGTTGAGAGGCCCGCTTACGCGGTTTTAACGCTTGGTACCTCCAAACAAGGCCTTAGAGTCTTTGATGGAAGTATACAATTAAGCGGCCTCTCGGACCACCTGCTGAGCCCCAGGGAAGAGGGTGGCACCCATCTTATACGGCAAAGCAAGTAGGTCTTGGCATGTGGAAGTTGAGTATTTAGATACCGACATCCACAGCCTGCGCATGCCCATAACAGCGCACATCATGTGCGAGGCACAGCTACGAATAGCGTCCCGCGCAAGATGACTGAACTTCCGTTAGTTTCGCGGCCAACTCCGAAGAGTCGGCCGGCCCCTCTCCCGCTAACTCCCTCTGTACAGCTGACAGATACGCGGGGTGTGCGGACACACGGAGCTGGTGGCATGCATTATGATATTGCTCCTCGAAGCATATGTAAGCAGCCTTCAACCGACAGCCCTGCTTGACCGTAGTCAAGTTGGGGGTCTCAGACTCTGGCATGGGCGCAACCACCTGAGGCAGTACCTGGACATTTATCCTGTCCCGGAAGAGGTCTCAGCAGATCTGATATCTACCCCCGCCTTTAATAGACCTCTTTAAAGTGGAGCAAGTCAACTTGTCTCTTTTTGGGGGCCCGGGGGGTTCAAGGCAATGCCCGTCTTCCTCCAGACATTTAAGGCAGCGTTCGTGCCTGTCTTATAACAACCTGTACACAGTTTGAAGGTCTTTGTAAAAAAGACAGTAATTTCTGAGGTGGGCGGGAAGGGTATTAAAGTGTATCAGTGCGATATAAAGATCGGAAAGATACGTGCATAAATTGTGAAACTAGAAGCAAAGGCGTAATGTAGAATGCGATTTGTAACGCGATACTAATAGCCAATGTCGTAGTATAATTATAACACCAAAGGGGGCGTGTTACTCGCAAAGGTGTAAAAACCCGTAAAAAAGGTAAGTGTAGTTTATAATTTAACACACGACCTTGGGTTTTTGTAAAGGAAAAAATTGTAGACCAATGCTGTATGATATAACAAAACCCCAAGCCGTTTCTAATGGTCTTGGTGTTACATGTATCAGCCCGTGGAACTACAATATGGACGCCATTACGGCCATTTGAATTCAAAGGTACCGTGCACGTGGCGTATAATTACAACTCTAAAACTTTACAATGCGAGGTATTACGCCTTGTCATCTGTAAGAGACAGACGTGCTGATTTTTCACACAAGACAAAATAAGAGAAAATATTGTTTGACAAGAACCATGGCTGACCAAACTGTATGTATGGTACATTTCTTTCATTGCAAACCATAAGGAAAGTGATTTGGGTGAGAGTTGCTCCCCCTGGCGTGAGGCGCCGTGGGGGGTGAGGCCCCGTAAGGGTGGTCGTATATCATACAAATGAAGTTTTTTGTGTGGTAACATTTTTTATTAAGGAAAATGGTTACAACTATGTCATGTAGATTTTCTTGAGCAAGGAAAATGCAATAAGTGCCCCAAGGAGGATTTAATCTGAAAGAGAATGTATTTTCTGGTCCAGACTCAATTCATTACAGACCGCTGTCATATAGCTGGAATATTGCTGAGTGCGGCGTTAAACAACAAACAAACAAGTTTAACACACGTGTCACTAACACGAGATGTGGTCCAGTGTCTGGATGCATTTGGACTGAGATGATGGGAAAAGCTGCATTTATGTGGTCCTACGTGCCCAATGCATTTCATGCTTATTTTTCATTCTGAAAATGTTATCAGATATCAATGCCAACCAGTCAGCTCCATAATTTGGGAGAACAAACAGTAATGAATGTGACACACGACCTGTCAGATCAAGTGGGTTTTGAGGTAAAATGTGTTACAATAACAACTTCAAGGGCAAAGTGTATTTAAACAAATACATCACAACCCAAGACATATTTTCTTTGTACTTGCAATTGCAAGACTTACATGAATCAAAATATAAACTAGATTGTGAAAACACCACCTTATTCGAAATCAAGAGGCAAGACAAAGACAGTTAATAGGTAAACCAGTTAAGTCTTGTAAAGTGAGATCAAACTAAAATTGTTTAAATGCCAAACTTTTAGGTAAATTTATTCCTCAACTGGGTCACATACCAGGTACTCAAATCTGGATAAGGTTTGTAAACACAGGTACTCGAGTCAATTTCCTTCTTACCTTTAGAGCGCTACTCAATCATCATGAAGCCCTCAGATGTTAATGGACAGAGGTAATCAAGATAAGTAAGATATCTGATTTTAATGAGAATGAATTATAATATGCATACATGTCTAGCTCTCATTCAACACAATGTATTCCTGTAGCTCATGCAGTTATTACACAAGTCCATGGAAAGGTGATTCAACATTCAACTGACATTTCCTTATCTCCAATGTGAGTACACAAACTGATAGACACTAGATTCTTCCCCTTTCTCACTCCCATGGCAAACCTACACATTTCTAGGAAACAATGTCGACAGCTGTTCACTTACCGAGAAGCTTCATTGAAAAACTTTGGCTTTCTAGCATTTGTGATAATGACATCAAACAGGTCCTGCCAGTCTGGTCCAATCATGTACGACATGCCAGCATGTCTGGAACACACAAAATAACTTAATTACATCAAATTGTTATAAAATATGATTTGATTAGGAACAGTTGTAAAGTTTGATGTTGGATAAACACCTTAATTCCCCAAGTTTAGGGGTGGGGGAATTAATGGCCCTGCAAGTTTTTCATCCAACAAAATCAACCTACCTGATTTCTCGATGTTTTATGTTGTAACGAAACAAAGCAAAAACTATATTTCATGAATCCAATTTTCACCATGAGATCATTATCATTGTCAGGGCAAGTTGACAGAAAAAGCAAGCTCTTAGCATCAATGCTAATGTAACAGGATTTGCCAGGCATATGAAGTTAGGAGTTGTCATTAAATACATTTGGCCTTTCCACAAAGTAGAGTTTTGCCATTGCTGTCTTCATGAGAAAGTGTTTTAGAGTATTACAAGGACTTCACAACATTTTCAGAATTAAGTTGTTTGGTTGGGTGGGGAGATATGTCTCAAAACTTAAGGAATTAACTTTTTTATCCTACATTGAACTTTTCAACTGGTCCCTTAGGGCAGGTCTTGCATAAGTCGTCAGCGTTAGAAATAGGCACTAGGCCTTAGTCCTTGCCAAATTGCCCAATAGTTAAGGTATCATGACAAGTAGAAATTTGCCATTATCATGGGTTTGGCTATATGTTATCATTATAAGGACGAGTGGATTAAACATGTTTGTTTCTACCCGTTGGTCAGATGTTTCCAGGCATACGAAGCACCTGTTTTCACCATTGACTGATTCCTAACAGAGACTTACATGAAGGGGAAGCCACTGTTGGTGATGAGGAAGAGTTTTTTACCAGCACCAGACAGTCCCTCCAACAACAGCTTGGTTTCATTGCCCTTCTGTAAGGTTGTTTCTGAAAACATACAACACACACATGAGAATATATCAGCGTGCTTGTCAACTGAGGTGCATCATCTCCAGTGGTGGCAACACCTGCTGTTAGTAAAGTTAAGAATCTGCAGCCTTTAGGGAAGTGGGTACACCTTCTATATGTTTTTATGTATGGCTTGGATGCTGTTTAATGCCTCACTAAGCCATGCTCAAGCAGTATGGTGGCAGCCTGTGAATAACACAGTCTGACAAAGACAAACCAGTGATTGATATTAAGAACAATGTCCCATCGGGGTATGATGGCAAACATTCAACCAAATCACCAAACCCAACCACCCGATCCACTGAGTCGGTTTGTACGACAAGCATAGGTTGCTGGAGACCAGTTCTAACAGAATACCCACTCGCTTACGGAGGGGAAATTGAAACCAACCACTCATTGATGAGTCTATTTGAACAGCAATATTGTTGCCAGAAAATGTTCAAGGATAGACCAGGCAAACCAGTGGTTGATAGCACGAACACCACAATTAGTTAGGAAACAATAGTCACATGTGCTGCAAGTTAATGTACAGGTAAAGGTCAGGTGACCATGTACCATAGTTGCCCAGTTCTGCCCTTCAGTCTCCATGTCTATCTGACTCTGACTTCTTGTGTCACACACAACACTCTCAGAAGTCGGACGAGGCATTTAGGAGATTGTATTACACTCCTGGGGTTTAATTAGGATGGGAGAAACATGATGTTGTGTCACGTTTAACATATATAGGGCCGAATTGGACATCTCTATTGCTCAGAGGGTTGGGCCCCTGCCCCTCCACCACCACCACAACCCTCCCCGCCCCCACCACCACCACAACCCTCCCCGCCCCCACCACCACCACATCCCTCCCCGCCGTTACCACCACCACAACCCTCCCCGCCCCCACCACCACCACAACCCTCCCCGCCACCACCACCACCACAACCCTCCCCGCCATTACCACCACCACAACCCTCCCCGCCACCACCACCACCACAACCCTCCCCGCCACCACCACCACCACAACCCTCCCCGCCACCACCACCACAACAACCCTCCCCGCCACCACAACCCTCCCCGCCACCACAACCCTCCCCGCCACTACCACCACCACAACCCTCCCCGCCACCACCACCACCACAACCCTCCCCGCCACCACAACCCTCCCCGCCACTACCACCACCACAACCCTCCCGCCACCACCACCACCACAACCCTCCCCGCCACTACCACCACCACAACCCTCCAGCCACCACCACCACCACAACCCTCCCCGCCACCACCACCACCACAACCCTCCCCGCCACTAGCACCACTACAACCCTCCCCGCCACCACCACCACCACAACCCTCCCGCCACCACCACCACCACAACCCTCCCCGCCACCACCACCACCACAACCCTCCCCGCCACTAGCACCACCACAACCCTCCCCGCCACCACCACCACCACAACCCTCCCCGCCACTACCTCCACCACAACCCTCCCGCCACCACCACCACCACAACCCCACCCCGCCACCACCACCACCACAACCCTCCCCGCCACCACCACCACCACAACCCTCCCCGCCACTAGCACCACCACAACCCTCCCCGCTAGCACCACCACCACCACCCTCCCCGCCACCACCACCACAACCCTCCCCGCCACCACCACCACAACCCTCCCCGCCACAACCACAACCACAACCCTTCCCCCCACCACCACCACCACAACCCTCCCCGCCACCACCACCACCACAACCCTCCCCGCCACCACCACCACCACAACCCTCCCCGCCACCACAACCCTCCCCGCCACCACCACCACCACAACCCTCCACGCCACCACCACCACCACAACCCTCCCCGCCACCACAACCCTCCCCGCCACCACCACCACCACAACCCTCCCCGCCACCACCACCACCACAACCCTCCCCGCCACCACAACCCTCCCCGCCACTACCACCACCACAACCCTCCACGCCACCACCACCACCACAACCCTCCCCGCCACCACCACCACCACAACCCTCCACGCCACCACCACCACCACAACCCTCCCCGCCACCACCACCACCCACCCCGCCACCACCACCACCACAACCCTCCCGCCACCACAACCCTCCACGCCACCACCACCACCACAACCCTCCCCGCCACTAGCACCACCACAACCCTCCCCGCCACCACCACCACCCACCCCGCCACCACCACCACCACAACCCTCCCGCCACCACAACCCTCCACGCCACCACCACCACCACAACCCTCCCCGCCACCACCACCACCACAACCCTCCCCGCCACCACCACCACCACAACCCTCCCCGCCACCACAACCCTCCCCGCCACCACCACCACCACAACCCTCCACGCCACCACCACCACCACAACCCTCCCCGCCACCACCACCACCCACCCCGCCACCACCACCACCACAACCCTCCCGCCACCACCACCACCACAACCCTCCCCGCCACCACCACCACCACAATCCTCCCCGCCACCACCACCACCTCAACCCTCCCTGCCCCCATGTCACCTGAAATTGTTGAAATTCCAACAGTCTGCCTTTATGACAATCATTCACCCCTGGAAACCTATCTACTCTGGACTCCCAAAGATGCACTGTCCCAGTACTCACCAAGGTTCTCCATGATCTTCTGATGGAGCAGCCCAGAGGAGTGGACACCCTGGACAGCATTCTGTAACAGAGACGGAACACAACCAGTTTATGACTCTACAATCTGCAGTACTAGAGACATCCAGATACACTAGTATCTTCTAGCACGACCAACTATGGCTGCTGTCCAGGTACTGTGTTATCATGGTTGGAGTCACATGTTCAATTGGGGAGCATCCACAAGAGTGAGTGAGCAAGTTGGGTTCATTTTTCATTTAAATCACGGCTTTTTAATTGATGCAGGTCTTAGCTGTTTACCATGATGCAAAATACAACAACATGAGCATGCTGACAAACCAGGGCTCATAACCAGGGAAAATCCGGGATTTGAAGCTGGGATTCAAGGATTCTTGTTCATGTAGATGGCACAACACATCATAGATAAGTGTGGAAAGAAGAGTTAGCATACATGACAGGCAGCTTGAGTCCTGTATTCATCAATACATTTAATCAATAGTCTTCCATGACTGCAATCTCCAGTTCCTGTTGTTGTGTGTATCATCTACCATCCCAACCAATACAGATTTATTGTGCCATATGGGACAATTCTTTTTGAAGCAATTAAAACGACTTAACATAAGTGCACTGTTCATCAATGCAAAGTACACTGATCAGTTTAACAGATTGTTGGTGTCGTGTAGAAAAGAAGTAAAATGTGTTTCTCGACCTTAATGAAATGAATCACTATGTACACAGTGCTCATGTCTAAGCAAATGATGTTGCATGACTTTACATTACCAGGGATTTATCTGGACCTATCTATTAAGCCTCAAGTCTGCAGGAACATGTCATTATATAATTCCCAAATTGGAATTACAAATTTCCCAATCCACGTTAATACAGATAACTAATATTACTAATTTATGTCTTTGTAGAGGTCGAGGGAACTTGTGTTTCACTGATAACAAGACCAAAAAAGAGGAAGATTATCATCATCATCATCATCATCATTATTATTATTATTATTATTATTATTATTGCTTTGAATGTAAAATCAAGATACAAGAACATCTGGATTTAAGAAAAGGAGAACTGGAACAAATAACACTTTTTTCCCAATTTGCCTGCCAGATGGGCACTAAGTTAAAATCTTGTAACAATCCCTGCATTATGACAAAGGTAAAAAGTGTTTTACTTTATGTCTATGTAGCAGATGTATCAACAGTCATGTATGAGGGGCAGGTAAGCCATAATTGACCCTAGCCATGGCTGTTCACTAAATACAACAGACAGATATCACCAGTACTTACCCTCACATCATAGAACACATACTCAGGATCATACGTGATGTTGTTTTGTACAAAATACTGAAAAGAAGGTGAGATTGGTCACAACAGTATGATAAATTAATAAAATTATATAACAAAAAAATGACAGGTAATTTTAACAAGAGCATCAGAGTTACAATATTCATTTTATTTCTATTCTTTGATTCAGATACGGTAGTTAATATACTAAGCCTCATCAGATGAAACACTCCTATCAATACTGTCAAAACAATATGCTACAGAAACATTTAAGATTTTGTTTCTATCCAATTGCAACAAATACAATTCTACATACAGCATCTCATGTGGGAGTCCTCATTTAATTTACAAAGTCACTCTGCAAGAAATGTTTAGAGCGAAAAATTACTGCCACCATATTTCTAAATACCATTGGTCACTTTTCATGCAACCAGATGGTTTTGTCAGAAGACATCTAATGGTGGAGGAAAAGATGAACCACGCTCACAACTCAATGTAGGCTGTACGAACCTCTGTGATATTGGATATGAGAGTTACTTCAGGCAGGGCAAACAGATCCACAAGTTGATGCATGGGACCCTGGAACACAGGAAACCAAAGTCAGGATTCTGAACATTGTGTTATAACATGATATAATGATAAAGGCAAAGCTATAAGTAGGTATAGATACTGAGTGTCAACATTTAGGCAATCAGTAATTTTAAACAAGACAATGCACAATGTCCAGTTATTGATGAAAATTAATTCTGGACAAATAAATCAAAGAAGTTAAACCAGCAATGAGGTCTATCAGCATATTCAACAAGTTGCAGAATGTTCAAGTACAGATTTCACATGTTGGTATCTGTTGTATGTCAATGAATCAGGGTTCCATGTTAAGAACTTGATCTTACTTGCACCAGTTGTATGTTGACATGAAAACCAAGTTGCACCAAACAAAACCAGGTTGCACCCAAGTCTGATAAATTTATCAAAGTTGAAACACAGGCTGGTCTGCTGCCAGTGTCACATAAATGAAGGACCCATTGCAGTAAGATGTAATAGGAACATGTGCACATAAGTACACACATTTTGATGATGTCAAGCTTTAAGACAGGCATAAGTGATGAAGTATGACATATCAACTTTAGAGGTACTGAGTGTGTTCAAAGACAGATTTTGTTTGGACAAGTAAGGGTATGTCAGACACAAAATTAATTTAAAATTTGACATGCACTTGGTGCACATAAACATAAATATAAGGTTGCATTTTTCAATACTAGGTCGCGCTGGTGCATGTTTTATATAACTAAATCGAGCCCTGAATAAAAGTTTTCACATAGAAATTTATTGATATTTTCACTTGTCTGACACAAATTAGAGTTGCAATCTAAAAGTGGCAGTCCACAATGAAATGTCATAAGTCCTTCATGCGTGTTACTAGTCTTCCTGCATGTTGCTAGTCTCGGACTAGCAGACTTATGGTAATGTAAAACCCAGGCTAGTATACCAAAGCATGTCATGAATGTGTCTTATACATAATTTAAGTTTCTACTAAGGCTTTCCAAAACAGAACTCATAAAACAGTATCAAAGGTTCAAAGTGATACTCAAATAGGCAAAGTCAATAATATCAAGTCAACATGTTGGAAGTGTTCACAAATGAACAAATCAAACTGGAGCAACAAGGAGGAAAATATGATTCACAATTTCAATGAAAATCCGTTGTAAAACTGTTGTAACGGAAACATTAATTTGCAACATCAATTTTCCAACTTTATGTTACCACACGTATTTCAGGCTGTTCCCTAGCAGCATCTGATTTGAGGATAGAGGAAGCTGTACATACTGTTCCATAGAATGTGTTCATCTTCTCCAGGGAGACATGCGTCCCCTCGTAGGTGGCCTTCACCTCCACATCAGACACGGCCTGCATGCCCCTGTAACACACGGCAAGATGGCCTCAAACAACTGAAGGTTTACTAGTCTAAGGACCTAGACCTGCTCAAAGTCCCCAGTCATCCTGCATGCCCCTGTAACACACGGCAAGATGGCCTTAAACAACTAAAGGTTTACTAGTCTAGAGACCTAGACCTGCTCAAAGTCTCCAGCCATCCTGTATGCCCCTGTAACACAAGGCAAGATGCCCTCAAACAACTGAAGGTTTACTAGTCTAAGGACCAAGACCTGCTCAAAGTCCCCAGCCATCCTGCATGCCCCTGTAACACACGGCAAGATGGCCTTAAACAACTAAAGGTTTACTTGTCTGGGACCTAGACCTGCTCAAAGTCCCCAGTCATCCTGCATGCCCCTGTAACACACGGCAAGATGGCCTTAAACAACTAAAGGTTTACTTGTCTGGGACCTAGACCTGCTCAAAGTCTCCAGTCATCCTGCATGCCCCTGTAACACACGGCAAGATGGCCTCAAACAACTAAAGGTTTACAAGTCTAGGGACCTAGACCTGCTCAAAGTCTCCAGTCATCCTGCATGCCCCTGTAACACACGGCAAGATGGCCTCAAACAACTAAAGGTTTACAAGTCTAGGGACCTAGACCTGCTCAATGTCTCCAGATATCCTGCAAGCCCCTGTAACACACGGCAAGATGGCCTTAAACAATTAAAGGTTTACTTGTCTGGGACCTAGACCTGCTCAAAGTCTCCAGCCATCCTGCATGCCCCTGTAACACATGGCAAGGTGGCCTCAAACAACTTAAGGTTTACTAGTCTGGGACCTAGACCTGCTCAAAGTATCCAGCCATCCTGCATGCCCCTGTACCACAAGGCAAGATGGCCTCAAACAACTAAAGGTTTCCTAGTCTGGGACCTAGACCTGCTCAAAGTCTCCAGCCATCCTGCATGCCCCTGTAACACGACAGGATGGCCTTAAACAACTAAAGGTCTACTAGTCTGGGACCTAGACCTGCTCAAAGTCTCCAGCCTTCCTGCATGCCCCTGTAACACACGACAAGATGGCCTTAAACAACTGAAGGTTTACTTGTCTGGGACCTAGACCTGCTCAAAGTCTCCAGCCATCCTGCATGCCCCTGGAACACACGGCAAGATGGCCTCAAACAACGAAAGGTTTACTAGTCTATGGCCTAGACCTCCTCGAAGTCTCTAGCAAAAATCTCAGTAACATATTCTAAATTGGAAACATAAACTTCCACAATTTTTCTTAATATATTGATAACTGGTGTTATAGCTTTGTTGAGGGGACTTGTATTTCACTGATAACAGGACCAACAAAGAGGAAGAAGAATCACTGAATTTCAATGTTAAGATACCTCTGAATTTCTGAAAATAAGACCATAAAAAAATATATAAGCTTTTGCACCAATAATGATAATTTTTTACCAATTTGTAGTTTGGAATCACAGATCAACCATTGCAGTTCCTCACAAATAAGGAGACAAATTCTTTGAATGCACAAGAATAATTACAATGAAAGTACTGTATTCCCTTAAACAGGGAATTCGTTGCATATTGATTAAACAGACCGAATACAACATATAAAAAACAACCAAAAAGGTTAAAATGCAAGACAACATTTAACAATCACTTGAAAGATGAATGCTCGTTGGGATAAAATGCATAAACATTGCAAAGCTTTCCCTTTTTATGTAGTTTTCTCACTGAGAGCATACAGAACTCAGTTATCAGGAGAAGAATGTAATCATGCTAAAAAAAGATATACAAATTAAATAATCCAATTTTCTTAAAACAATACACAGTACGCACGACCAGTTGTGTAATTGTGTTATCAAGTAATAATGTTCTTTAAAGTTTATCTTATCCCCAAAGTGCATGACTTGTAAGGCTTATCATCTTGTCAAATTTGTGCCAAGTTTTTGAAACTTTAGAAAAGTTTATTTATAATCACAATTACCTATTTTGAAAATAAAAACACTTAAGGGTCTGATTTACACAGATACTGCATAAACATGCTTACATGTCAACAACAATGCATAAGGTTAAATCTGTTGCAGTGATTCACTGAATAATCACGTCAGATGATACTTTATATGAACATGATAACACCTTGAAACATCATTTATATCAGGATCATACACAAACATGAAATATTCATGTCATGAAAGAGTCATGACTTGGCATTGTGCTCTTTGTTTGTTTGTTGTTTAACGCCTCAATCAGCAATATTCCAGCTATATGACAGCGTTCTGTAAATAATCGAGTCTGGATCAGACAAACCAGTGATTGACATCATGAGCATCGATCCAGGCAACTGAGATACGATGACATGCATCAACCAAGTCAGCAATCTGACCACCCGATCCTGTTAGTCGCCTCTTACGACAAGCATAGTTGCCTTTTACGGCAAGCATGGAGGAGAGTTATGACTTGACATTGTGTTATGTCAACATAGCACATGTTCATGAATAAAACACCTAAATATTTGCAAAACAAAGAAAAAAAAAATGGTGGTTTACCTGTACACAGTTCCCAACTGTATGTTGTGAAATGAGTCAATCTTCATGAGAAGTCCCTGAAATGATAAGCAAGCGTTCAGGCAGGTACAACTATAACTATTGAAACTATATCATCATGCTGTCTGGGAATTATTTCCCCTATACTCATCCCACAAACACCAACATTGATAGACTTGACACTTTGACAATCCTGATTTAGAAACTGTTATAATTTTTTTCTTCTCCAATGTCCTGGTTGCTGAAATACACTGCGTCTGCTGCTAAATGTCTGAACGCCATCTATGTAGGGGTGGGTAACTCTAACAAGAAAGATGTTGGTTATTCCATGGGCAGTTAACTCTAACTGGTAAATTTGCCTGGGCTGATATCTACCAGTTGTTTTGGTTGTTAGAAATAGATTTCTAGTTCCAAAAAATTCATAAAATTTACACAACGGTTTTATGCTTGAAATGTTGCTGGTTGCAGCATAAACCACACTCAATGTGATATTTTTCAATAAGCTGTTATGCAGCAACTTTTCTGCTAGGGCTGGGACGAGTCCAAATTTACTACCCGAGTACCCACCACCCTATTACCTGACCCTACCCGGGTACCCTCTGTAGGTCTCAAGCGATACAAAATGTCCGATTGGGAATTGTTTTACAAAAGCACTTGCAAAACGTATTTAGATACATGTATTAAACAATCTGGTCATGCAGACACTGAAGTTGACTTATGGTTTATCTTTATTCAACCATATGAAAAGTTAGAAGGAATGGGTGCATAGTCAGAAAGAAATGAGAACATTAGTGACTTGTAGTGTAACCACAGAGTTCTAGATAATGTTTGTCTTTAAACAATATATCATGTGACTGACCACGGGTCCGGGTAGTCCTGTGGGTACCCGGGTCCTACTCAGTACCCACCCGACCCGAGTACCCGAGTTACCCGTCCCAGCCCTATTTTCTGCCTTCGGGCTCATTCAACCTTACCTGTCTGACATCATAATGGAGCCCCCTAATGGCAAAGTCTGGGTCATATTTGAAGTTGGAAATCTCGTTTGGGTACTGAAAGAAATCATATTCAGTATAATTTACATACTCTGTGTTCAGTGTTTGTAATTATATGGAGGAACGTGAAGGGGTCCGCAATTTTGTAGCATAAGCCTGCTGTTAATATTTTCAATAATACAAGGGAAAACAGAACCTCAAGAACACACCCACCTTCCACCACCACCCTAAGATCCTTTGTATATAAATTCTTTCACTTAATTTTTTCAACCAAAAGATCACTTAATGAATAAGATTTAATTGCTGTTTACACATACCATATTCGACGTAATAAGCCCCCGCTCTAATAAGCACCCACAGCGATATTTGCTAATATATTGGCAAGTGAACAATCCCAACTAGCACCCCTTCCGATTGATCAATGTACACAAGACTTATTTATTCATGTATAATCGCACGAGTGTGTTATATACACCCTAAATTATGGGCCATAAATTTCAGGAAAAATATATCTGTCGTATATAAACAGTTCAGGCCGTCAGCATAAACCACACAATTTATCTTTCAACTCTGTTTTTTCCAACCAAAATAATATTCTAATAACAGCCCCCTATTTCTATTTTTGAGAGCGCCCTGGGCGCTTATTACGTCGAATATGGTAATTTAGAATCTCCATACATGATCTCTGTACTTGCTGGTAGTAGGACAAAACATGTATCATAGCAAGGATTTACATGTTTAATTTGGGGGTCCAAGGACTCAAAGCTTTAATTTTTTGGTTCCAGGTTGAAAAAAAGTTCAGCAAGAGAATGGGTGTCCCAAAGAAATGACAAAAATCGAATACAGTACCACCTCAAGGGACAAAAATTAGGAAAAAATTCCTCAAAGTACATTATCATTCTTTATCATGATTATTAATATCATATCTCTATTCTATAATGATAAATACCCCATAAAGAATGGCTTACAAAGCCTTGCTTTGAATCTGAATAACAATATGTAAAAGACATTACACCTGTCATGGTCATGGGACCCGTGAAGATCCGGGGTAGAATAGGTCTTCAGCAACCCATGCTTGCCGTAAAAGGTGACTATGCTTGTCGTAAAAGGCGACTAACGGGTGGTCAGGCTCGCTGACTTGGTTGATGCATGTCATCGATCCCAATTGCGTGGATCGATGCTCATGATATTAATCACTGGATTGTCTGGTCCAGACTCGATTATTTACAGACTGCCGTCATATAGCTGGAATATTGCTGAGTGCGGCGTTAAACAACAAACCAACCAACCGACACCTGCCATGGAGACAATCCGGCTTTTCATTTCCAGTATGCCCCAAAGATGCTGTGCCTGCATCGATGCTCACAGGACATGGACCAGATACCGACATCACTTATTTACTATGAAGACTGAATTCCACAATGTCATTTCTTAACATATAACTGTTTGTGGGAAACGAACGTTAGTGCATCACTGACCTTGTAGTCGTTGACAAGGGCTTGCTGTCCCAGTTTATACAGCAAATAGTGCAGCTGTGTTGTGTAGTGAGCCAGTGTGTAGTCGTAGTCAAACCCATACACCTCCACGTCTCCCAGGTGGATCTCATTGTTAGCAAATATACCTTCCGTATTCACATCAGCAGCAAAGGATTTCTCTGAAATCAACTCACCTTAATTATTATTTCATTCCATGTGCTGAAAATAGTAAACAGTCATGCTGTTTTTAGCAAAAGCTGGAGCAATTGCAGAGAATAAGAGGAAGATAATAAGTTTCAACCACTGGCACAAACATCATCATTACAATAAATCACTATTTATTACTTGCCCGTGAAGAGATCACCCGTTTAATAGACATACAGCTGTATTACACATTGTGTAATACCTAAACGCGTGCTTATGTACTCTCAGAACATGTTTCACGAACAAATACTGAAAGCTCTCAACATCCCTTGGCTTATTCAACGACATTGTGTGTGGAGTTGATAGATCACTGGGAGGAGCTTATGTACACTCGATGACCCCAGCAACCTTGTCATGTCACATGGCATTGTTTCGCCGATGGCTCTTGCAACAAAATTCCACAAATTACGTCATCGTGTATTGTGACATGATTGTACACTTTGAGGTGCAAGGCCCCATTCCACAAGGCGATCGTATTGTAGCACAACGACAGTCATTAGTCTAAGTTAAATTATGTGAGTTGCGATAGCCTTCACGAACAATGGCTAAAGTTGTGATGGTTGAAACTGTCGATCATTTGGCTTGAAGATGTACACAAGAAGAAAAAAATCATCATATTCAACTTTCAACCACTAGTCCTTATAATGATAACATATAGGAAAACCCTTAAAATTGGCCAATTTCTACTAGTCCTTAGGATACCTTAACCATTGGGCAGTTTGATAAGGACTACAGGACTAGTGCCAATTTCTTACGCTGCGAACTGATACATGTATAAAACCCATGATCAACATTGATATGTAGAAGTGTTGTGAATAAACTGTGAAACCAACTAACTAGTCTGTCTCACATATTATTTCTCCTTCTGTCCAACTCTTACTGTAAAGCTATAGCCCTAATTAAATGAAACAAGTCTCGATTTTCCAAAGGAAATTTCAAATTAAAAGTAGTTTCATGTTTCTTTACAAATTCATATTTTTTCAGGGACAAAGTGTCACTCTTCCAACCAAATGATCAAATGGGTGATAATGGTTCCAGCTAAAATAGCACCAATGAAAACAGCAGCAGATTGGTGATAACATGACTTGGCTAAAATGGCATTGTTTATCCCGTCGAAAACAGGACTACATATTCATACCAAAATATCTATAAATACTATTTCTCCATAAAAATGCCAAATTAGGTAAGTATGTCATGTTCTAGAAGTATATTCAAGTGAACAGTTCTTTATGATGGAGACATGATATGATCAATACCACACACTTAGTTGCTCATCATTCTCTAAGAAATAAGCGAGAGGATCCTCTAGTTTAAATAACGATACCGTAGTCAACGTAATAAGTGCCCGGCTCTAATATGTGTCTTCTTTTTCTAATATTGAGAGCACCCTGGGCGCTTATTACGTCGCGTACGATAAATTCAAACATGCACCCTTATTTTAAATAAAATAGTAACAGGGATTTTGCTGGAGATAAATGGCATTAATTAGGACATAATATCAACTTTATCAACTTTTGCTAGGACATATATCTCCACCTAATCTTGCAGAAGACAATCAGAAAATGCCCTAGAAAATGAACCAATTTGAATTCATGTGGTATCAAAGTTGACTTAAAGGGGCACTGATCTAACGCAATTCCCCGGACTGGTTTTTGCCTTTGTTATTGTTATTTTCACCGTGAGTACCCGGATGATACGCAACGCAACTGAGCGTGACCAGCCTGGGCTACCGTCTGCAAGGACAGCTGAATATACTTGGAGGCTGGCGGCAATATCTGTTTTACGCATTTTTGCATAAACACTGATTAGTTAACTGTGATCTATAAAGATTTTGACAAAGGGCGCATGTTAATTAATTTCTTCAGCCTAAACAAACAGACAAAAAGAACGGCGGAGCTCATCGGATGTCGTCATTTGGAAATACCCCAGATGGTTATAAATTAATACTAAAAAAAGTATCCATGCAGTGAAAGCTTTTTGGGATTTTGGATTGCGTCGCTAATACGATTACTACTCCCTTGTTGTCATCCACGTTTTCTCGTATAACCCTACACTTGTGTATTTGTCGTCATTCACTTGATGCTCAGTTAATGAATTTATTACAGGTACAATTAGTGGTAGCACCACTTAGATTACCTGACGAAGGTTCCCATTTGGCACTTATTGTGTCTGGGGTAATTATTCAATCTAAATCCAGGTTTGAAGTGAGGTGAAATGTGTGTTATGTAATATGCACGTGGCAGACCAGCAAGAGGTGAATGATCAGTTGATTTACATTTTTTGGTAAATCAATGGATCGTTCCTAGTCATCAAAGGATTAACAGAAAATACGTTGATTGATTAATCACTGTTATCTTGCACAGTGGATATGTCAAAAGTGAGTGTTTACATGTGTAGGTTTACTAAAACAAAGGGAATACACTTATATCATTGCGTGAAGTGCCGATGTAAAAACAAATTACTTTGTTCAAAGGGTTAACTGACAATACGTTGATTGATTGGTCATTGTTATCTATCACTCAATGGATTTGTTAGGAACCGTGGACGTTATGAAAATAGTTATCATGGGCTTTCTCTGCCGACCCTTGAGACTTGACACCTGTGTGAAACACCTGAAACAATCCAAGTGATCAGTTGAGAAACGAACACGGGTTACAATATCCCGAAACGATATATATCTTTTAAAATATTTGATTGTTACAGAGACACGTGACATCGATTAAGTTTCTTTGTACAGCTGCAGACGAGTGGACTATTGTTCCTTTGTATGGATATTCACGGATACATTCCTCGAACAAGGAAGCTGCCTAAAATTTATACACATAAATTGGGTAGGTTGTAATTATGGTATTTGCATTTTGTTTTTCTTCATTTGCTGTAGCATTGAACCGATTCGTCCTTGTTTCTCTCTTGGTTGGGAAATTCTTCAATGCGCGATAGACGTTGTTTCACAGGTCTTTTCCTTTGTAAGCTTGTATATATTACCGTCAATTTGTAAAATGTGATTCTCTCAGGCAATTTATAAAATGTGTAAATATTTCGTTTTGACTAAAAAATCTGTCCAGATTGATTAAGACGATCAAAAGGGCCTACAAACCTCACAACAGATTATTATGTGGGATTAGAAGCCAAACAACATAGAAATGTACTTTTCAACATTACATTTTCAGTCTCTTGGTGATGACATAAAACATCAAAATGTTTGAAATTCGTTATCACAATAATACAGATGGAAATGTTTTTCAGTCCCTTTGTAAAATAACTGAATATTTAGGCGTTTAATAAATTTGTAAATGTTACACATTTTGACAGTAAAAAATATACACACCATAAAAAAAGCAATGCTCAGGTGAAATATTTACTTTGTGTTGCAAGTCAAAATAGTGTAAACGAAAATCGCAAAATTACCAAGCAAGTGACTTATCAAAACTTCGTCACCATTACCGATGCTACCCACAAAGATACCTACATTTCCTTATTATCTCGAAAACTGTATTTCATTTTGTTGATCAATGTGACCATACGCCCTTATTACTACCCATAAAAGTGACAAATGCGCTTACGAATGGCACAGCAGAGGTCGCGAACTAGTCTAGATTTCTGCTATACATCCGGGTACTCTTTTGGAAAAAACAATAACAAAAGCAACAACCAGTCCCGGGGAATTGCGTTAGATCAGTGCCCCTTTAACATATGGTTTGAATACTGCTAACATAATGTTAAAATTTGAGAATGTTGAGTGTATGTTAAATGCAATGTAGTAACTGTATTTCCATTCACTGTGAGAGAAGTAGATGGTGCTATTTTCGCCAATTTGCTTCTGTTGATGCAAGGCAACTTTGGTGCCTTGTTGATGAGACACCCTTATAGGCTGATCAAACCACGTGTTCACAACCGTTAATTAGGCCTAATGCTTTTCATAATACATTATTTTCAAAAGCTAATACATATTGCAACATTTTGCGCCTGATAATGCCCCGATGTTTCATCAAAACCTGACCAAACATTGTGTTATTGGTTTGTACACGATGTCTACGATAGATGTCACCTCTAACAGCTTCTAGAGCAGGCGGCTAAAAAATCGTCTGCTAAAATTCCACGGATTGCAGGCGAAGCCACAACTGATAAACATTTTGAATAGGTCAAATGTGCATCAAATGTAATTATTTGTAAAGCAGATAAGCAAAAGATGTCAAATCTGACAAGGCAGGAAGATGAAGATTAACGCTCAGTTCTGCGCAGTTTTGGAGCCGTGGCGATGATTTGCCAAATGCAAATCGGTTGCCAGGACAAACACCTATAGATGAAGAGAAGGATCTACCTTGCAGTCGTTGTTTTCTTTTGTGATACACCTTCCACAAGTCATCCGTATGCATCTGGCCTGAGGATGCGCAATAAGATTTTGATATTGTAATGTAGCATCTTGAAACGCGTTTGCAGAAGACCTTCGTGAATCTGTGTAAGCTCGCCATGTTTATGTTTGGAGGTCAAAACCATCAGGGGGAGGTAATACATACCACTAACAATTGAGTTACCCGCTATAAATGTATTTAATGAACGCGATACGATCGAAGTAAAATCTGACTCCATGTTTTTTAACCCCTACATATGATATCGTTGATGTAATTACTAATTATTAGCAGTCTAAGGGAACTATTCAGGAGATATATTTTGTCACAGTATTTTTTAAGGATTGGAATATTATACTGAGTATTTGGGCCCAGCTGAGAATTTTAGAATTTGAAACGGAACATTTTGAAAAAAAAACACAATGTGAGGTGAATGCCGTGTAAACTATCGCCTTGTGGGGCGAAAATGTGTAAATGATGGTACTTTGGGGCGAATATCGTGGAAAGTACATGTAATGTACTGCGATACGAATATCATGTAAATATATCGTTTTGCATGTAAGGCGAATATCATGTAAAGTATCGTACAGTGAGGCGAATATCATGTAAATATATCGGATTGCAGGTGAGGCGAATATCATGTTAAGTATCGTACAGTGAGGCGAATATCATGTAAATATATCGTATTGCATGTGAGGCGAATATCATGTAAAGTATCGTACAGTGAGGCGAATATCACGTAAAGTATTGTACAATGAGGCGAATATCATGTAAAGTATCGTACAGTGAGGTGAATATCATGTAAAGTATTGTTCAATGAGGCGAATATCATGTAAAGTATCGCACAGTGAGGCGAATATCATGTAAAGTATTGTTCAATGAGGCGAATATCATGTAAAGTATCGCACAGTGAGGCGAATATCATGTAAAGTATCGCACAGTGAGGCGAATATCATGTAAAGTATCGTACAGTGAGGCGAATATCATGTAAAGTATTGTTCAATGAGGCGAATATCATGTAAAGTATCGCACAGTGAGGCGAATATCATGTAAAGTATCGCACAGTGAGGCGAATATCATGTTAAGTATCGCACAGTGAGGCGAATATCATGTAAAGTATCGCACAGTGAGGCGAATATCATGTAAAGTATCGCACAGTGAGGTGAATATCATGTAAAGTATCGCACAGTGTGGCGAATATCATGTAAAGTATCGTACAGTGAGGCGAATATCATGTAAAGTATCGCACAGTGAGGCGAATATCATGTAAAGTATCGTACAGTGAGGCGAATATCATGTTAAGTATCGTACAGTGAGGTGAATATCATGTAAAGTATCGTACAGTGAGGCGAATATCATGTAAATGATCGAACTGTGAGACGAATAACGTGTAAAGGATATTGCGATAGCAAGACACCACCGTGTTCTGATTTGCTCTAGACATAATACTTTTTCAAGTAATAAGTCTTCATTCCTCCACAGAGTCGTAAGGCGCCGCGATTTGATGTCCAAAGTTGCCAGGATTCTATAATCTTGGGTTCGAATCCCAGTTTCACGCCGGGAACTAACTGAAATACAGTTCACAGCGGCGCTAAAGCCAAGACTCACCCTTTCTCGTACATAATTCCTGCCATGTCCCCATTCCAACAGTAATGAGTTGATATGAATGTTAGTAAATTGCCAGTCATTAATATTACACCAATATCACTGCCTGGTCACCAGTGGTCGATATCATGAGCAATGCCAAGCGTCGTACATCACAATAAATGAACTCAAACAACATGTCCACGTCATTATTATAAAAAGTTCTTTTTCACGTGACAATATTGTTTAACGAATACAAGTAAACAGTCTTCCTGAAATTGTCCAAAAGGTTTGGCTATCCTTGGCGATAAACAACAAACAAACAAACAAAAAAACTATAGTCATCATTAATAATATTTCCTCGACTGAATGTGGCTGGTACATATATACTGAACCGCAAAAGAAACGTCACAATGGTTAGCTATATGAGAAACCTTATTTGTCCAAACACTGTAAACATACTTTGAGACATATTAAAAAGATGAAACTTGGCAAAACTGATCATCAAAGTGTCAAATGTTCTTAAAGTGAAACACAACACTAATCTCTGAGAAAATGACATCACAAGTCAATATCTCGTGTGTCCGCCATGTGCACTGATGACTACCGTGCAACGTCGATATATGGAATGGATGAGGCGCTTGATGAAGGCCATGGGCACTTGAGCCCACACTCTGAGGAACGCCTGACGCAGTTCAGCTGCAGTTCGGCCTTGGTCGAACGTCATTCAGCCGTCTTTGAATCTCGTCCAACAGATGGCCAATGGGATCTAAATCGGGACTGAGGGCAGGCCACTGCATGGTTCTGATGCCATTCTGCTGCTCTTGTTGCTCTTGCAGTGTGGGCGTTATCATGCTGAAACTCGTGGTTAAGGCGACGTGCCAAATGAGGTATGGCGTGTGGTCTCAAGACTTGATCAATGTACCGAGCTGCTGTAACACCATTGCCTCTCCCTGGACGATGTTCTGGAAGATCACAGTGCCTACCCTCTGTGCAAGATCAATTGCAACCCACACCATGATGCTCGGACCACCCCGCGAGTCTCTCTCAACAAAACAAGCATCCGAATAACGTTCCCCACAGCGTCGTCAGACTCTTTCTCAGTAACGGCTCTCGTCTGAGAAGAGGACTCTTCTTCACTGCTGGTGGCGGGTGGTGACCCTTGTTCTTCCACTACGTGGTCGGTTGTCTGTAGTGTTGGTGGTCTGGTACCGTTGCTGGAGCCTGTAAATGGTCCTTACGTGGACTTGAAATGCATTGGCTACTTGCCGGGCGGTTTGTCCAGCTTGCAATCGTCCAAGGGCTTGGTGTCGCTGATTTCTTGTCAATCTTGGCTTGTGGTAGCAATTCAATAACGAATGAATATTATCCAATCTGGGTGGATTTGTATAGGGCAAGAAATGGGGGAACGCATGTGCATTTCAATTTGCACGGAACTCAAGTGCAACGGGTTACCATGGCCGTTGCCGTGATACGTTTGGGCGATCGGTTTTATTGTCATCTGCTTTGTTTTTTATCATCAAATTTCCCTTTTCCGGACAAGGTAATGTTAAATCTTAGAAACTTTGCCAAAAATTACCCAGATTTAAATGACAACTTTTCATGCAATGTCACTTGGGGTGACGTTTCTTTTTGCGGTTCAGTATATGTTGCATTAACATATTGGTTCTGTTGGGGGCTTGGTTATGTAAACACTTGATCATCCAAACTGGCTTACACAACTTACATTGCATAGATGAAATCAAGAAATGCATAGCGGACCTGGTTGCCATCATCGGTCACCATGACATTACAAACAAAAGGTGCAGCCTGCCACGAAGGCTGGTTACTTGTACTTTTTACATTCAACCCACTGGTTAATTCTATTGAAAAACTGAAAACTTTGGAAGAAAGATTTTTTATATATGATAAATAGAATCTCACACTCGTGTTGTTGTGCATCAAATATATACTACCGACAAAGATAAGGGAACTAATGATTTGAATGTAGCTGTCGTTGAGGTGTACATTTACCTTGGCGTTGCATCTGAATGCAACATCTACAATCGCAATGGTATTTCTCATCATGCATAAACAGTATGTGGTGCACGTGCACACAGAAGCCAATGTGGATCTAACAGATGGCGTTGCAATGAGACCTGGGTGTGGTAGGTCTAAAAAACGACACCTAGACAAGATCGTCCCATTACATTAAATGCACCACGCCATGGATTTCCATACAAAACAGGCGGGCGTATTTCAACATCTACCGTTAAAAAATTGCCCTATGCAGCAAGGCGTCGTGTGAAGCGTGTGACCCTAACAGCTTACTATAGCGGGCAAACATTGAGGTAGGCTAGGCAACACAAGGGTCCGCCATGTTTACAGACGAATCAGGATTTTGCCCTTGATTCACATATGGCAGAAAACGTTGTTGGCGACGTAGCGGCGAGCGGTATGCCAGAAGAACAATTCTTGAACATTTATCAGCGTAGGGACGGTAGTTTCAGAGTGTAGGTCGCTACCACACATTACAGGCGATGATTTGGTAATTATAAATGGACATTTGACAGGCCAGCGATGTGTTGATGAACTTTTGCGTCCTGCCGTTGTTCCAGAATCATCGGCAGAAACCTTTAACTGCAAGATGACAAAAACAGACCAGATCATGCCGATCCAGTCACCGATTGGCTACAAGAAGGCAATCAGACATTGGACGAGCCCTCCGCTAAGTCCCCTGACATATCTCCAATAGAGCATATGTGGGATGCTCACGGGCGGAGTACACTAAAGACCCAGCATCCGCCAACATGGCACCAATATGCCACGCAGGTGTCGTGCATGTATCGCCCAACGTCATGGATTCATTAGATTGTGATTTACACGCCCGAAAACAATAAAGAGACATTTATCATCATTCCACTTTCACTATCATTTCATCAGATTCCGTATTTTTGTCGGAAGTAATGTATACATATGTAGCAACGCTTGGCGAAATTCCAAGGCTTGCCGATATATTTGATATGATAAAGACGCACGGGTGAGATTCTCAATGCCTGACTCATGAATGTTACATCGGTACGTAAAGATAGTAGTTCTGGGTCAGTCCACCTGGTAGAGCTCCACTCCACCATCAAGGCGGGGTCCGTTCATAGCACAGGTTATCACATTCACAAACAATGGTTTATCCGTGTCGACCACGACTTCTGATGCGGTGAAAACTACGCTGCCGTTGGAGAAGAAGCGACTGGTGAGGATGTCGTTGACGTAACCTCCGCCCTGGCTGTTACTGATGGTCTTCAGCTGGGACCACAGCACATGGTTACCATCCGATGAAACCTCGAAATCTGACAGAGACAACTAGAATTAATATCGCCCGAACAGTGGGTGAATTAACGTTAATTGTGTAGAATGCGTTTTACATTAATAAGGCATGTATTCCAACAGGCTTAGCAATTTCATAAAAAATGGCGGTCAAAATTGGCGGCGCCAGTTCCGATGCTGTGTTTGCTTTTCTGTAAAGTGTTACTAAATTTGGAAACGTTGGATTGTTTGTTTGTTTGTTTGTTGTTAAACGCCGCGCTCAGCAATATTCCAGCTATATGACGGCGTTTGGAAACGTTGGAAACAGAGAGTAACGCCGTAAAGGGATAAGGCTATAGGTTATCACTGATTGGTGAGGAATCACAATAACAACAAAGCTCGAGCAACTTAAAAAACCCTGTCATGACTGAGAAAGTAATGCGGGCTTTGGGGTCTTGAGATCGAGTCTGTATTCGGGCATGAACTAACATAAAAAGTTAAAGCTTAGTATGCCTGCATTAGTATGCCTGCATTAGCATGCCTGCATCAAACCTGATATTTCGTAAGTTTCTGTGCGTGCGTGCACGATAGTATATGAATGTCTATGTAGGTGTTGGTAGCTACGTAGCTACGTTATCGGACCAATCACTTCTGGACTTACGTAGATACGCTCTGAAGGGACCCACGGGAACCTGAAGCCATTTATAACTGTCAGGATGGTGAAACGTCATGATACTTTCCGATTGCACAACACGAACATTTCTGAATGACAGGCCGGTTATTAATGGGGCTGACGGGAGTTAGAACATGGCGACCCGCATGTACGTCTGAGTGGAATAAAGGTATCAGCATAAATAGATCATTTGAGGTGATTTGTCCTTTCCTGGTGGTCAGGAAACCCCGTGGCGTGGCAAGCTCGAACGCTCAACATACTCTCATATTCCGGCTTATTACTTTTTGTTCGTTGCGGTAGCATTAATTCAAAACAATATGTTCATCTGTTCATTGTCCAGAGTAAATGTTGTTTAACGTCAAAGTCAAGCAATATTTAAGCTATATAAGCAAGCCTGGACCAGTCAAACCGCTGACTGGAAGCACATCCAATGATGAACGCAACCAGGGCACGAAAATGCGCTATCAACCAAATCAAAGAGAATAAATTATTGGGCAAAATGTTCGATCACTTTTTGATTGGTTGCTCCAGACAAAAAAAGCGCGTTCTAAGGACCGGTTTCTTCAAACCAACACGTCTGTGGCATCTTAAATGTGAAAATACGTTCCTATTTCAACTGGGACTTTCACAACTGGGAATGACATGAATACTAAGTACTATTTGCAAATTAACAAAAGGTTTTGGGGCCTTCCTGAATGCTTACGAAACCATCTGTGCTAGGGTGTGTGGTTCTTGTATACATACCCTCGATGTCAGCTCCACCGATGGTGTCTTTCTTCAGTGAACAGAGGCCATAATCTATTGTTGCCCTGATCCTTGACCCACTCTGTAGGGCTGTCACGAACTCTCCGAAGGTTGCGAGTCGGGTTAAAGAAGCCCCGTCAGCAAAGAATGACGCAGAGACACTGTGAACGTACAGAGACACTGTGAACGTATAGAGACACCGTGAACGCAAAGAGACACTGAACGTACAGAGACACTGTGCACGTACAGAGACACTGAACGCACAGAGACACTGTGCACGTACAGAGACACTGTGCACGTACAGAGACACTGTGAAGGTACAGAGGCACTGTGCACGTACAGAGACACTGTGCACGTACAGAGACACTGTGAACGTACAGAGGCACTGTGCAAGTACAGAGACACTGTGCACGTACAGAGACACTGTGAACGTACAGAGACACTGTGAACGTACAGAGACACTGTGAACGTACAGAGACACTGTGAACGTACAGAGACACTGTGAACGTACAGAGGCACTGTGCAAGTACAGAGACACTGTGCACGTACAGAGACACTGTGAACGTACAGAGACACTGTGAACGTACAGAGACACTGTGAACGCACAGAGGCATTGTGAACGTACAGAGGCACTGTGAACGTACAGAGACACTGTGAACGCACAGAGACACTGTGAACGTACAGAGACACTGTGAACGTACAGAGGCACTGTGAACGTACAGAGGCACTGTGAACGTACAGAGACACTGTGAAGGTACAGAGACACTGTGAACGTACAGAGACACTGTGAACGTACAGAGGCACTGTGAACGTACAGAGGCATTGTGAACGCACAGAGACACTGTGAACGCACAGAGACACTGTGAACGCACAGAGACACAGTGAACGCACAGAGACACTGTGAACGTACAGAGGCACTGTGAACGTACAGAGGCATTGTGAACGCACAGAGACACTGTGAACGCACAGAGACACAGTGAACGCACAGAGACACTGTGAACGTACAGAGGCACTGTGAACGTACAGAGGCATTGTGAACGCACAGAGACACTGTGAACGCACAGAGACACTGTGAACGTACAGAGGCACTGTGAACGTACAGAGACACTGTGAACGTACAGAGACACCGTGCACGTACAGAGACATTGTGAACGCACAGAGGCACTGTGAACGTACAGAGACACTGTGAACGCACAGAGACACTGTGAACGTACAGAGGCACTGTGAACGCACAGAGACACTGTACACGTACAGAGGCACTGTGCACGTACAGAGACACTGTGAACTACTATTTAGGAGTTTTATGTGACCATCACGCATGAAGCACGTGACGGGTCATGGTAATACGCTTAAAGGTTAATATCTAAATATATATTTTTCAAAAGAAGTTGAGAAGACTATGGTTAATTAGTCATGGTTGAATTATTGCAAAATGTTATCTTAGAAATGTGTCCGTTCTTTAACTTGTATTGAGTATTATATGGTGTTACAGTTTGTAATACTGTTGTCCGTAAATATTTCATTTGACATTTGATTTATGATCATCTTATAGTGTATCTTTTGTCCTGTGCGAATCTACAAGAATATGTACTTGCATATAGTAATTTGATAAACACATCTTTGAGTGAGTGAGTATGCTTTTACGTAGCTTTTAACAATATTCCAGCAATATCACACCAGTAATGGGCTTAACACATTGTACCCATGTGGAGAATCGAACCTGGGTCTTCGGCGTGACGAGCGAACGCTTTAACCACTAGGTCACCCCACTGCCCCAACCGCTGTGACAATGGTCTTATCACAGTTGACACATGTACTTGGGTAAACTACACACATGGAGAGACATCCTAATTCGAGTGGCCACACAGTTAATGTTGATAACATTACTATGATTATCTATAACATATGTTATATCAGCTATCATTCTATCATGTGTGTGTGTGTGTGTGTGTTTTGTGTGTGTGTGTGTGTTTTTTGTGTGTGTGTGTGTTTTTTGTGTGTGTGTGTGTGTGTGTGTGTGTGTGTGCGCGCGTGTGTGTGTGTGTGTGTGTGTGTGTGTGTGTGTGTGTGTGTGTGTGTGTGTGTGTGTGTGTGTGTGTGTGTGTGTGTGTGTGTGTGTGTGTGTGTGTGTGTGTGTGTGTGTGTTCGTGTTACAGATATCTACTGGACTATATATTATATAAAAAGATGCTTTAGTTTGTACAGAGGCGAAATGCAGTATGATAGTTTCTCAGGTGTGTTGATCCAGATTGACTTAAAGACGCTAACGACAGTAACAGTGTAATAACTGTGTACATGTATAACTTTTGTCTGCATAATGTTCATGCATCATTATCGATATAATTGTCATACCTAAATCGGTCGAGCACGTATTTTGCTTCACCTCCAAATCCGTTGACCGAAAAATAATTCTTTGAACAATGCAAACAATACAAACAATGGTTCATAATACCAACAATTATTTGTCATTGTATGATCTATATGTAAATCATTATTTGTTCGAGTTTATTTTATCCTTTAAAATTTCAGTTTTAAGATTGTAGAAAGAAAGGGGTAGTATTATGAACAAAATGAAAATATGATACGCGACTATTCTGTTGTCGTGTATGTTTTATGTTAATGTATGCTAATTTATGCTCATTTACTACACGTGCTTATACAAACTAACAGAGATAGCATTCTGTATCTATATCTAACATATTTATCTACCACACATTGTGGGTCTAGGTATAAGTGGCAAAATTGCGGTGAGATTTATAGGAATGGATCACTGAATATCAGCAAAAATATTTTTAATGTACGGCATTGTGGGGTATATCGTTTTCTCGCTCTATCGCTTTCTACCTTTTCTTGCTTTCTCGCTCTATCGCTTTCTTCTTTTCCTGCTTTCTCGCTCTATCGCGTTCCTCCTTTCCCGCCCTTTCGCACTATCCCTCAATCGCTTTCTCGCTTTATCGCTCTACTGCTTTATCTCACGACTTATTAACCATAGTCATATGAATGAATCGGATGTTCTTAAACTTCTTTTAAATAATTATTTTATGTACTGTATATCTTGAAATTAACGCAAGAGTTAATTCAATGCAAAAGATTCAAGTGGACTTAATTAATTAAACTTCGAAATGAGGCCATAAATCAATCAGTAATCTTTTACGCAGAAATCCGTGGATTGTATTAAAATCATCTACGTCTGTACAGTTAAATTATGTGTAAGAAGTGTATCCCGTTTATGTAGTTTTACGCGGAACAAACTAACAACAAAAATGGCATTGTGTATTCATAACAAACACAGGGTCGACCTGAACTCTCACCTGGAAGGGGCGGTCGGGTAGCCTAGTGGTTAAAGCGTTCGACCCGGGTTCGATTCCCGACATGGGTACAATGTGTGAAGCCCATTCCCGCCGTGATATTGCTGGAATATTGCTAAAAGCGGCGTAAAACCATACTCACTCACTCACTCACTCTCACCTGGAAGAGTCGGGGCCGATGGTACAGTCGTAATACTGTTTGTGTATCACCGCCTGGTAATCTGGTGAAAGAGTAGTGACAGTCAGATGGACATCTCCTGTTTTGTAGATGGATCCTTCTCGGAGCCGGACCGCCAGAGATCCTGGAACATTAGAACGAGGGTGTGAGCGAATATTTACGTAGCATCGGCAGTGCTGTATGTCTGTAGCGACGTGTCTTCTATACAGCGTAGATATCTGAACCGGATGTGCCTATTATTGTCCTGTTTAATGTTATGATATATGTCCTGTGTAAAGTCATGTATAATGTCATGTTTGATTTTATGTTTTATGTACAGTGTAAAGTCATGCTTAATATCATGTGTAATGTCATGTTTAGTGTCAGGTTTAGTGTCATGTTTAAGGTCATGTTTATGTCCTCTGTAACGTCATTTTTAATGTCATGTTTAGTGTCATGTCTAATGTCATGTTTAATGTCATGTTTAGTGTCATGTTTAATGTTTAATGTTTGTTGTGATGATTATGTCCTCCGTAAAGTCATGTTTAATGCAACGTTTAGTGTCATGTTTAGTATTATGTTTAATGTTCTGTTTTATGTCCTGTGTAATGTCATGCTTAATGTCATGTTGAACGTCATGTTTAAGTTTATGTTTAAGGTTATGTTTTGTTATGTGTAAAGTTTTCTTTTATCCCATGTTTATTTTCATGTTTATTGCCATGTGTAAAGTTATGTTTACAGTATTTATGCCCAGTCAGCACTATTCAAGCTATATCACAGATACTGGACACAAACCGAGTCTGTGGCAGGCATCCGAGCAACGTCACACAACTGGGGTACGATTGCACACATTTAACCACGTCCCGAGCCTAACCTGTCCAATTTAGTCACCACTCACAAGCACAAGAGCGCTGGGGGCCACTTACCGTAAATCTCATAACACTATTAGACTTGAAACACAAGATGGAGTTGTCAACTTTATTATGAGGAACACACTGTTTCGGAGAATATGCTTACTCCTTCATCTGATGAAGGAGTAAGCATATACTCCGAAACGTTGTGCTCCTCATAATAAGTTGACATCCATATATTCTCCTCCTTATGTGTATCACTTCAAAATGCCTTTCAAAGACCTGAAGATGGGTCTGTAGTAGTCAGTGCCGTGGCACGTTTATTAAGACCTTATCCATATTTATTCCCCCTGTTCTACTTACATAAAGCGGGTGAGTGAGGACACATTGTTTTATGCCGCAGTCAGCCCTAGTCCATCTGTACCACAGCAGCCTGTTCTGGACCAGGCAAACCATTATATTTAAGTTATATAAATGGTATGTGCCATCGGTATACGATAGGATATTATCGCCTTACTGACATATTAGGTTCGTCCGAAAAGCATGAACTACTGGACACCTACTCGACAGTGTACAACTCTTTTAGCCATGGTCACTATGGGTGAACGCCACAAATGACCTTCACACGTTGTATTAATGTGGAAAATCGACCCCCATAACCCAAACGCAGCTTTCAACAGGATGATAAATAGAGGATCATGTTCTGGCTAATGTAGGATTCGAACACTCAAGCAGCGGATCCTGGCAAAAACGATTGTTATTGACATCCCGTTCACGAATATACCCACTGCTTCACTGTTTGAAAAGTACTGCCACAGATATCTTACCAGAATCATCTCTTTGATAGCTCAGAGAGCCAAATCCTATGTACGAATTGGGACCGAACGTCGGACTGCTGAAGTACTCGAATGTGTCAATGTAGCCTCCTATCTGGGTAGTTTTGGCCCCTGTGGCACCGGTCACCCTGCACGCCGTGGGGGTGATGTAGTACCGGACTGCCTGACCGGACACAAGGGCTTGGAGAAGGTCATCGAAGGTCCTCAGCTGGGTCTTTGTCTGGTTCTTGTAGCGAAGGTAGACGTCTTGGCCCTGACGAGGCATTGTCTTTAGCGGTAACCTTTACCCGAACAGACGAATGAATGAATGAAGGAATAAGGAAATGAATGAATGATTGAAGGAATACACGAAGGAAGGAATGAATAATTGAATGAATAAATGACGGAACGAACGACCTGCATGACGTTCAGACATGCAAAAAGTTCCGACCTGCATGAAACGCCATATGCCTGTAAATCCTGACACACTATGCTGAGCTTTGCGTGACGTACTAATGTCTCGTACTCGACCACAGCACGGTGAATGGCGACAAATTTGAACGGTATATACTTGCCAAAATTGATGGTTATGTGAATAACGTGAATATTGTACCAATATTGGTCGGTTGTTGGTTGGTTTGTTATTTAACGCCGCACTAAGCAATATTCCAGCTATATGACGGTGGTCTGTAAATAATCGAGTCTGGATCAGGCAATCCAGTGATTAATATCATGAGCATCGATCCACGCAATTGGGACCGGTTACATGTTTCAACCAAGTCAGCGAGCCTGACCACCCAATCCTGTTGGTCGCCTCTTACGACAAGCATAGTCACCTTTTTCGGCAAGCATCGGTTGCTGAAGACCTATTCTACCCCGGATCTTCACGGGTCGAGCATAGTCGCCCTTTTCGGCAAGCATCGGTTGCTGAAGACCTATTCTACCCCGGATCTTCACGGGTCGACGTGCCAATGACTTCCATAGCACGGTGCATGGTGGCATATTTGAACGGGATATACTTGCTCAAATTGCAGATTATTTGAAGCCTAATAACGTAGACTTACTTTGTCTCTGTGCCTACGATCTGTTTTGTCAGGTTGTACGGCACAGGGATGGACCTTACTATTGACCCATTGGCAACAGAGATCCACGTTTCCTTCACCGTCAAATAGGATGACGTCACGTCGTTTGTGTCCGTGATGAGAATCTGAAAATGTTCAGTATTGAGGAAACTCATGTTATCTTGTGCTGTTAGTGCATAACTTCGTTGATAAATCAGTTCAGAAAATATTTTCCTGATTAACTTCATACTGCTTCTAGAACGGGAACAACAAATCTATATCACAGTCACTGGTTTGAAACACAACAGAATAACCAACTAGTACATACATTGTCGGCATACGGAATAACTTAGTACTAAGTGCTCGAGTCTAGATTAACGTCAGTTTGAACAGTACGTGATGGGACAAATCAGCATGGGCTTCGTGAGTGAGTGAGTGAGCAGAAAACCACATCAAGATGCTGCTGTTAGACGTTTAGCACCTAGGTGAAACCCTAGGACATGATGCTTACAAACCTAAAAACATATTCCGGCAGAACCTGGATTCGAACCCACAATCATAGGTTTCTGGCATGCCCCGTGGACGCAACTCTGCACAGCTAATTGTGGAGCCTCGGGCGACTGGTCCACCCATCATGTCTAGGACTTATGTAAAACCTTATGAATGGGCGAATCGTAGTTATGTATTTGTGAACCCTGGATTTCGAAAAGTAAAAACGGAGCAATGCATACGGCGTTCAATAAGTTTTGCAACTTGTGCATTTCTGTTTACATAAACAATGTCAACTTGTGGCGGGTGTGACACTAGTCATAACATCAGGTTGACACGTGTCATAACAAGTTCCAGACACAACAATAAGTTAGATGTGATGGCTCCATTCACCTAAGGGTGGTCACAATCATGGATTCTCTCAAACCGGAACAACGCGCTGTAATAAAATTCCTTACCAAGGATGCAAAGCAAAAGAAATCCATGATCGCATGTGTTAAGTGATGGGTAAGGATGCTCCTGACTATTCCTCAGTTTGCCGTTGGTCTCTACAGTTTAAAAGGGGTAGGGACATTCGTCACCACTCGCCCCTTTCCGTAACCTGCAAGAAGACTCGTCCCCCTCTCGATGAATGTTATGTGCGAAAATACGACAAACCAATCAGAATGCGCGTATGATTTCGAGTTCTTTGTCAAATAATCCCTCAGAAATAATTTTTGATTTTACATATGTCTTGCATCTAAAAATATACCCACGACACAGTTAAATGTGTTCAATCATACTGTATAATTCCGCACGTCCCGATGTCCTTTAAATTGCATCAGCAAAATATATATTATATGGGGAAATATATGTGAACCATTACGCAACGAGTTGACAATTGTTTTAGGTATGCCCGTTTGCGCTAAGACGGAACCTAGTCGCAAAAATGGCCATGAGAGGGGCACGAGTCGCTATTCGGCTTGTCCCGGAATAACACGAGTTGGCCACGAATGGGGTAGGGAGTCCATACACGATGACCCAAGGTCAGGCAGGCCTTCAGATGCCACCCAACCGGAAACCATTGCTGCTATAGAAAGAAGAATTTTGTCTGACCGACGAGTGAAAGTATCTGAACTTTCTAGGGAATTCCAAATATCAGTTGGAACTGTTGGAACCATTATTTATGAGCATCTTGGTACGTCTAAGGTATCTATAGATGGGCACCTAGAAACCTCAGGGCTCAAGATCGCCATAAGAGAACTGAAAGTTGTCGAGACCTCCTGGATCTCTATACTGCTGATGAAGCCGGATTTCTTTCTTTTCTAGTGACAGGTGATGAAACATGGATCCACCACTGGGACCCAGAAACTAAATTGGTATCCATGCAATGGAAGCACCCCCATTCTCCGCTTCCTAGGAAGTTTCGCACACAACTGTCGGCTGGCAAGGTAATGGCCACCATATTTTGGGATGCAAGAGGCATATCACTGATTGATTACATGCCACCAAAAACTACAATCAATGGACAGTATTATGCTAATATAATGAAAGAATTGCGAAAATCTATTCGCCAGGAAAAGGCGTGGGATGTTAACACGTGGTATTCCACTTTTGCATGACAAAGCACCGGTTCACAAGTCAAGAATTGCACAGGCCGTCATATGTCATTGTGGATTCGAAGAGTTAAATAACCCAGTCTACAGCCCAGACTTAGCCCCCAGTGACTATTTCCTGTTCAGGCAAATGAAATCTTGAAGGACAAATGGAATAAGTGTATTGAAGTGAATGGAGCTTATACTGAAAAATAAAAGTGCAAAAGATATTCTGCGACTTAGTCTTAAATTGAAGTTGCAAAACATATTGAACGCCCCTCGTAGCTACGATGTCCGCAACTACCCTGAATTACTAAGCTGTGTTTATCGGCTTCTAAACTAACCTCAGCTCCATCAATCTCCACCAAACACGTGTTGAACATGTGTGACCTAAACAAGTCTTCTGTCACACGGTCCCAGTACACGTCACAGCCTTCAACATACACCACATCTTTCAATGTCAGGTTCTTGAATAACGGAGAGTTGGGCGACGCGTGGGCGAACTGTTTTTGGTCCTTCAGTGTGTAAAATTTCAGATGGATCCTTTCTTCCTCGTCAACACCATAACTGTAAATTCTCTGTCGCACAAGATCCTTCCTGTCCCCGTTGACGAACTCCTCAAGGTAGAAGTTGACTCTCCCCTCCAAAATAGGCATCTCCTCGTTAGACACGGATATTGAGAGATGCACATGTCTGTCTTTTTCGGGTATGTCATTCTTTATATCATTCTCGTACTGAACAGTGTTGTCATAGAAACCAGGGAAGATGGCTGCTAGGTATTGCAAGTCTTTGGTTATGTCGCCCTTCACTGAAAGGCATGCACACGTCAACAGAGCGATATGTGTCAGATCCATGGTTTTCGCAGCAAATGTAGGGAAGCGTTTGGAGTGCGGTATATATGGGGTTTATTTATTGCATTCAGTGGTTGTCTCCCTTGGATCTTAGTCCGATATAAGAAAGAGTGCAGTTTGCTATTCAGTGCTATTCAAGTGAAAGATCTCCGTTCGAACTTATTGATGAAAGAGTGATAGTGCGCTGACAGTTTGTACGACATGTGGCGTGTGTTGCGTTAGATAATACTATCACCTGTCCAGTGGCCTAAACCTATCACTGAATGTGGGCTCGGTTTACTGAACTACTTTTTCTATGATGGAGAAGTGTCATGAGAGGTGGGATGTCAGGTCATTGTCCGTTCATGGTAAGGTAGAATTACAAATCCAGACCAAACCCTATATAAAGTTTTTCAAAATAAATATCTTGTTTTTCTTGACCCGTTCGCCCCTAGTTTCTGTTTGTATGCAGAGTTGTAAAATCGTTTGTGGTTTTACACCTGATTCAAATTGCTGGCAAATTTCTCATAGGACTGCCAAGCCGTGATAACTGGCTCTCCTCTTCCAAACGTAGGCACGTGGTACATTAGATCTAGGAACAACTTTTTTCATAAATTTGTAAAGAAAAATCAATACATGAATTGAAATCCTCCTTGTCTACGCTAAAAAAATAGAAATATTTAACGAGAAAAATAATATCTTTTAACCAACCTAACCATCGTTCGACGCGGGTCGCTTATGAGTTGGCGTGGATGAATCGTCACGTACTCTCGTGACCAAGGTTCATCAATTCGATATGGTTAGGTCTGATTATATATTTACATTTTTAGTATTTTGTTTGCTCCTGTGGGGATTTGGGTAAGAAGATCTCCACTGACAGACATGTAATATAAGTGGTGAGGTGAGGTGAAACGTTGCGTCCAAGATTGCACTTATATTGCGATGTGCATGCACGTTTGTGGCTGGTTGTACTAGTTCGGACTAATGCCGCAATTTGACATAAATACCCTACTCGGACACAGTATACAGACTCCGAGCCGACCAGGCCTTGTTTATCCCCTTTATGCCGAGCGCCTTTTGGACCGCCTCCGTGGTCTAGTGGTAGAGCGTCCGCCCGGAGAGGGGAATGCCCGGGTTCAATTCCCGGCCGCGTCATACCAAACGACTTTAAAAGATGGTACTTGTTGTTACCCTGTCTGGCGCTTGGCATTAAGGGGCTAAAACCATACCAGAATTATACCAGAATAGACAAAGACTTACCTGAATGTTTGCAGTGACCAATGACTGCTGTTACATAAATAAAATATTTGGACTGATACGAAACCCTAAACTCGCAACTCGCACGAATATCTTTGACATATAATATGCTTCTTCCCGAGAAATATCTTATTATCCCTAGCGTTATGTTGTAGTGACTTTCTTGCGGTTGGAAGTTAACGTCAAAGACTTGCATGACGTCTGGCTTTCCTCCCACATTAAGCTGACACGCCCTGACATAACTGGAATAATGTTAAAAGCGTCCTTAAATCCAACTCTTTCTCTTCTAAGCTGATTTCTCAAAAGCCTCCGTACGTTGCGTTGGAGTGCAAAAATTAAGGAACATCATGGAAATTATTTACCCAAAAACAAACCTTTCCTCAGGGAATGTACTTCTATACGAGTAGCGAGTCTCAAAAACACAATCGGGGCGATTTTTCAACTGTCCCGGCCATCATTTCTATTGCGAGATATTCGTTAGGTGACCCACGACACGCACTGGCCACACGTGTTGTCATGTTTACATGGTCTTTTGGAGCAATTTAGATGAAAATAGTATTACTATATTATATTCATCTTGGACCACTGACAATTGGCTCAAATGTTCAATCGGAAACAGGATTTGAAAGAATGAAGATCTAGACTTAGGACGTTCTTTGGCATGGCAGTACAGAATCCAATCAGTGGACATGGTGACAGTATGACCCAAAGACAAATGAATTCAGTTTACATTCGCTGTGATTCTATTTTGAGAAGAAACCAAAAGACAGCTTGGGGTAGTTCAGTATCAATTACCGAATTATCTGCATCAACTCTCCTGCTGCATGATCGTTCTTTGCTGTTTGGGGGCGGTCGGGGAGCCTAGTGGTTAAAGCGTTCGCTCGTCACGCCGAAGACCCGGGTCCGATTCCTTACATGGGTACAATGTGTGAAGCCCATTTCTGGTCTACCCCGCCGTGATATTGCTGGATTATTGCTAAAAGCGGCGTAAAACCATACCCACTCACTCACTCTCTGCTGTTTCCTTTATTTACCATTTCCCATGGTAGTCAGTGATGCATAGGAAAACTTCCGTTATTAAATACTGACTTGGCATTTCAAATGCATTATTTCAGAAAAGAGACGTGATAAAACCATTAGTAACTGGATTTCGGTTTCTATGGAGTTTCCCCGGTGCTAGTTTCTGCTGGAAGAGTGTACGGAAACTGAGCACAGCTCGACACCAGACAAGCCTGTTTCCATACCTTCAGGATCACAGCCACACATGCACCGCCTCAATGATGTGCAGTACTAATTTGTGTTCACTTTAAGTGTGTCCTGACCAACAATGTGCCCCAGGATTCAGGGTTAGAGTGAGTGAGTTTTATTTTACGCCGCCTTTAGCAATATCACGGCTTCACACATTGTACCCATGTCGGGAACCGAACCCGGGTCTTCGGCGTGACGAGCGAACGCTTTAACCACAAGGCTACCCGACCCCCCCTCAGGGTTAGAACCCATGTATTTGTCAGCAAAGAGGACTTGGTCATGTCATCGTACCAGATGTCATCGATAATTGCTCATAATATTAACAATCAGTGTTCTCTTGTCGAACCTCGATTATTTTCAGGCCGTCGTCGTGTCATGCTGAAGTGGGGTATTCAATATCAAACAAACAAAACTATGGTCACTATATTACGCGAGGGAACAGTGAGTGAGTGAGTATGGTTTTGCGCCGCTTTTAGCAATATTCCAGCAATATCACGGCGGGAGACACCAGAAATGGGCTTCACACGTTGTACCCATGTCGGCAATCAAACCCGGGTCTTCGGCGTGACGAGCGAACGCTTTAACCACTAGGCTACCCGCCCGCCCGCGAGGGAAAAGAATATAGGTAAAGACAACGATAATCCTTGTGAAACTCTCTGCCTTCAAACGACGTCTCCGCACACTGAGCCAAGGAGTCAGTGATGAAGGTTGATGCAGTAATTGTACGTCATGTGTTGATAGACTGGTGATCAATGTTTCTTAAAACCTTTGAATTCCAGTACACTATTTCAACCCTTACAGAATCAGTGAATAGCCAATCCTTTCATGTCGACACTAAATCCTGCTGATTGAAGCTATTTAACTTGAAACCCGTGAAGATCCGGGTTAGAATATGTCTTCAACAACCAATGCTTGCCGTAAGAGGCGACTAACGGGGTAAGGTGGTCAGGCTCGCTGATTTGGTTGATGTATGCCATTGTATCCAAATTGAGTGGATCGATGGTCATAATGTCAATCACTGGATTGTCTAGTCCAGACTGGAATATTGCTGAGTGCGGAGTAAAATAAGAAAGAAAGAAACAAACAAACTATTTAACTTGACTTATAATTTATGTGAAATAAGATGTAAATCGTATCTGATAGGAAACATGATTCAGACCATGAAACGTATACTGGTCACTTGATAGCAGGCAGCTGTTCCTCGACCATTACTTAATAATTATGAGATTTACCTGAATCTGAAAACACTATTGAACAAGTCAGACCCTCACGTACCTGTCGGTGCATTGAGTTACAAACAGCATGTGTCGAAAGACATATAGAGTATATAGAAGCACCTTTAATCCACATACGTGTTAATTATAATTGGATGTGATTGAAAAGTAGTACATAATCCTTCCTGGATTTAGACTATGTATTAATTTTGTATTGCCAGGCATAAGGGACCACACTCTTCAGTGATAACTACTGTAATAACCTGTCAACGAGTTCATGCAGGAAGTGTGTTGCGGTAGTGTAGAAGGAAAGGTTACTTAATCTGGTACGCTTTAATGGAGATGGAAGATCAGTATCATCGTGTAGTGCCAACCTACAAAGAGAAAGGGGGCTCAGAAGAGTAGCATAGTGAATTTGACTGTTATCAACACAACTGAAAGAGTCAGGACAGGTGACGGTGATAGCGTCAAAGGTCACGTTCTTGACTTCGGACCACGTCGTCAGCTGTGTATCACACTAACTGGAAGAGGTACACGCCTCCCCCAGGCCGCAGGCCGTTGATCTCGCAGTCGATCTCCTCCACGTAGACTGCGTTGTCTGTGTTAACCATGACGTCTGAGGCGATGAAGATGGCGCTGCTGTTGGAGTAGAAACTGCCGATGACGATATCTTCTACGTAGCCCGGCCCCTGGTAATTGGTGATGATTTTGTATTGTGACGATTTCACCATGTTCCCGTCAGTGGAGACCTCAAAATCTGGAAAGAGATTCAAACACCATGAAGTGTACGATAAAAGGAACATTGGTGCCATCATGCTGGATGCGATGACTCCACACAGGTTAGGTGTTCCGAAATCCAGTGACACATGCTACATGTAATTGTGCACTTCACTTAATCCTGAATGCAATCAAAGAAGGACCTTCGAATTCTTCATATTCAGAGAACGTGCTCGCGACAAGTGGAAAGAACACCATGTGGATTTCAAAAACCTCAAAGTCTTTGTTTGAATTTTTGCAACCCAAGAAAGAACGATGCATCCCCAGAAAGAAGCACCTCTCAATAAATTTGATTACATTCTACTTTGCACACCATTATGTCACACAAGAAGGTTCATTCTTTATTCCATTTGTTCCATGGGGTGACTATAGACACAGTTACAATTCTATCTTCAAATGCTCAGTTCCATTCCTCACATGGTGCGAAGCCCATTCCTCGTGATACTGGTGGACAGTTGCTAAAAGCTGCATAGAACTTACTCACTGACTCCCTCAGATTCTCGGGAAAAATGGACAAATATGAAAGTAAATGCCACTGGAACCATATGAGAAATGCGGGACTTCCTCACATATCGTATCGATGTCAAATCTGGGGACAACATTTCGGCAAGACGCAGGCATCTCGAAAATGTGCCCACCTCCTCCATGCTTATCTGTTTCTCCTTGCAGATGAAGGCAATTTCTGTTCTGGTTGGGTAAATGAGAACACGAGAGTTTGGCCAAGAAGTTTAACTTACGATGCAGGTATATCGTAAGAGGCAACTTAATGGATCGGCTGGTCAGGCTCAGTTAATTGGTTGAGTGCATGTCATCGTATCCCAAATGTGTGCATTGATGCTCATGATTGTCTGGTCCAGATTCGATTGTGGTACAGATCGCCACCAGAAAGCTGGAATATTGCTGAGTTGGGCGTTAACCAAAAAGACAAATACAAAATAAAAACTACATAAATAATTATATAAATACCTACCTTCAATTCTTCCTCCGCCAATTGCTTTTATACCCATATTACAAAGGCCATAGTTCGCAATGAATCTCACGTTGCCACCATTCTGGAGTACGGACACGAAGCTGGTGAAATTCGTCAGTTGTTTGACTGAGCGTGCTCCGGAGAAAAACGTGGCGGATCCACTGAGACATGAATGGATGAGATTGATTACTTGTCATAAGGAAAAGCAAGCATAAGAATAAAGAGTAGTAAGACCTATTTTCCTATAAACACTCTTGTCCTTAAAGCATTGAACAAATCAAATGCAAAATGGAAATTAGTCTCTCCTTGCCTGTGACGAGACATTCCCCAGTTTGACTCCAGCTGTCATTGTTTGCCCTAATAATTATTTAAAAGAACTACAATAAAATTATCTGAATGTTTTAGATACTTTAAAATGACCCCCAAAATAAGAATATTTAAGAATGTAGTAGTGATATTTGTCTCACCTTGACCCACTGGAGCCAATTGAACAAACTAGGTTCTGTTTGTTGAGAACTGTCTGGTAGTCTGGGGATAGCGCGGTCAGTCTCAGTTTCACATCACCAGTCTTGTACACCAGGCCCTCCTTCAGAAGGATGAACAGGCCTCCTGCAGAACACGAGGCATAGATAACCAGCTCGGACAGTGAGGGTTAACGCTGCATTGTACAATAGCCAGGAAAAGTCAAGGCATAACTGATTAATATGGAATGCAGGGCCAAAGGAGAGCAGATTTTGGTGAAACACGTGGATATAATGGTGAAAAACAGTGAATATAATCAAGGATTCGAAACCACATCCATAGCATAGATGCAACACAGTTTCACTCTGAGTGCATCATTCAATGGTAGTGGTAAATGTACTAACAATAAAGTCTTGCTCTGAAAGACTGCTAATTATTATCTAAACGGTGCGGGAGGTCAGATTCAGATTATGAAATATTCTGACCGCATGAAAATCGTTGTTATAGACTTCGGTCACTGGTTTGCCTGGTGAATCCTTGATTATTTACAGGCCGCCGTGATGAAGGACTATTGTTGCCTTAAACGTTATACATTCACTCCTCAACTCGACTTTGGATGAGTGCAAGTCTCGAACCTCATGATGTCAGCCATGTTTTGTTTCTATTATTTCGTCCGCCGTCTTAGCTGGAGTATTGCTGACCACGTTGCACATAGTTACGTTGCAGGGATACACGTCGTCGACGTTCAACACTTAGGTAAAGCCTGTGGCCAGTGCAATCATGCTGACGGGGACATGGGTGGCCAGTCGTCTAAGGTGCCGCAAGTCGCCGTGCTGAGTTGTACCCCTTGGGCACTCCAGTAACCTACGATTGTGGGTTCGAATAACTGGTATACTGTTAAAAGCGGCGTTAAACCCAACTCACTCACTCATTATCACGCTGACAGAAAATCAGTGGGTGATTCTAGGAGTCCAGTCCACGACAGCCTCGTTTTAGAAGGTGAATGGACTCGGGGAATTGAACATAATAACATGTTGACATGATACAATGTTTGGTTTCTTAGTTGTTTGTCTGTTGTTGAACACCGCACTCGGCACCTTTATGATTGCGGACTGTGAATAATCGAGTACTGACCAGACAATACAGTGATTAACATCATGAGCATCGATCAACGCACTTGAGATAGGATGACATGCATCAATCAAGTCTGAGAGTCTGGCCAACCGATCCCCTAGACACCTATTAAGACACTCATAGTCGCCTCTTTAGACAAGCCTTTGTTGCTAAAGACCTATTCCAACTCGGATCTTCACGGATCTATCATACACTGAATAATCCAGGATGCAGTAATAGGTAGATTGAGGCAGATAATCGACATTTCACATCCGAAATGACAGTTATATATTGCAATCTTACATTTCCTTGAACATTCCATGTTTCTGCTATATTAGCGAAAGGAGCACAGAGTTTTTCGTCGGAGAACGTGACATTACCCAAATGGCCTTACATGTACGTCATATATTGTGAGTGAGTGAGTTTCATCTTAAACAACCTTAGCAACATTCAAGTGTTTTACACATTGCACGCGACTTGGGACTCGAACCCGGGCCTTCGGCGTGGTGACACAAAGCTCTAACAACTGACACCCAGTACAGACAAACTACAAACCACTGGCGTTTCTCGTTGGGAGGAATGCTGAAAAGCCAAAGTATGGGACGGGCCCGAATGCTGGATCGTTGAAGTATTCGAATGTGTCAATGAAGCCTCCCATCTGAGGTAGGGCTCCCGCCCCCTTCCCCCCGGACACGGTGCAGTCCGACGTCTTCAGGTAGTACCGGATAGGCTGACCCTGGACCAGGGCGTTGAGGATGTCCTGGAAGCCTTTCAACTGGGTGGAGGCGACTTCAGAAGGGGACGCGGGGATCCTGCAAGACAATAATTATTCTGTACTTTACCAAAATCTTTTATTTGGATTTAAAGGAAAAAACAAAAACCCATTAAATATTATATTTTTAATTGCAAAATTTGTAATTTATAAACAAATGAGAAAGAAATCAATTCCACATTTTAAACAAGTAAAGTGGGAAATAATGAAATATTATGAAGCTACAAGATCTATTGCTTTCACAAATTGTAAACAAGCTAAATTTTTCTCTTTTTGGTCTTCATTCCACACATTATTCAAGAATACCAAGATATGATTTAATATTACAATTTGTCTGTTATTCTGTATAGAAATCTTATATATAGACTTACCAGATGTACCAGAGAAACAAACTACTGAATGTACAACAAGGCGATTTGAATATATACCATGCTGATCTTAATGTAATATGTTGCATGTGTACTTTGTATTTGAAATGATGGGAATAAAAAAAAAATTAAAAATTTAAAAAAATTATTCTGTACTTTCGCCATATTTACTTAGCCTTAATGTGACAAAAATATATCATTTTGGGTCGGTTTGGGTTGGTTTATTTCCTTTATTCAATTTTGTTTTATGTTGTATTTGAATTAAGGAGTTCCTGGAACCCAGTAGACTTGGTGGAGGCGACTTGACATAAGGACAAGGAGATCTTTTTTGTCTGTTTGAGATAAGGACAAGGAGATCTTTTTCGTCTGCTTGAGATAAGGACAAGGAGATTTTTTTGTCTGCTTGAGATAAGGACACAGAGATCTTTTTTATGACTGCTTGAGATAAGGACACGGAGATCTCTTTTGTCCACTTGAGATAAGGACACTGAGATCTTTTTTGTCTGCTTGAGATAAGGACACGGATATCTTTTTTGTCCACTTGAGATGGACACTGAGATCTTTTTTGTCTGCTTGAGATAAGGACACTGAGATCTTTTTTGCCTATTTTGTTATCTCTTGTCTGTTTTTTTTATTTTCACAATTATCATTCTATTTGTTGTGAGAATGTTGTTTGAAGATATTAATTGTTAATGAATAAATATTTTGAATTTTAAATAAGCCGACGAGCATTAACATTGAAGTAATGGACTCGTTCTCTCACCATCCTTCACATGTGCTCGCCTCACTTGTTTGACCCGGGCTCATAGAAGACTACTTACATACGAGTCAGCTGGAGTATATATCTATATATAGATGTGTTATACAAGTAGGGCAGGTGTTTGCCCTGACTTGTGGTGTATGCAACCTCCACGTGATCATATTGCTGCCAGGGGAAGGTAGGATGACACTAGGCAGGTGGTATCGTGTTCGTTGATAATGCCTGCATTAACAACTACCACACACAACACACACTTAAGTCAGGGACATGTAGATCCGTGGGGGGATCTGTGTCTAGACTTTCACCTTGCTCAGAGTCCTCGCCAGTGTCTTCTTGTATTACATAGCTGGGTTCAAAGTGAGCATCTTTATGTGACTGATAACGTGCTAAATAATGACATTACCATCTTATTTTAGTATCATTCGGATGGAAAACATTATTAGTAGTAGTATCAATATTAATATTATTATTATCATTTGGCTCACTTGGCTCTCTTGTATATTTTCATTATGATTATGATTATGATTATGATTATTACGCAGCCCAAACAGTGAATGGGACTTCTCTCAGTAAGGGCTGCCTTGCTAGTCGAATCCACAAAGATACTTTTTCGGTGAACGTGAACACTGCATCCTTCTGCATTACCCATAGTAGTAGTAGAAGTAGTAGCATTAGTTGAGCACTTATTCCACACAACACATGGCTGTTACACCTCACGCGAACTATTGCCATTATCATTATCATTATTACACATACCCTACATGGTTAGTAATACTAATGACGAATGAAATACATAACCGAGAGTGTACACATGCAATGATGAGTGCCAGTACATGAATAAATTAGTACTATGTTCAGTCAGTTTCGAAATATCTCTCTGACCTGGTCACCTTGTCCCAACTAACGTCCCAACTCAAGTATCCTATCCCGCCCCACCCGCCTGGTAATATACATACTGATTCAGCAATCCAGACACTACAAGATAAAGGCATATGAAAATGAGAGTGAAGAGTGTTTAACAGTCAGCGGTATCTATCCAGGCTATATCATAGCGACCCGTAAGCAGTCGAGTTTAGGCTAGACGAGGCTGTTTGAGGTCCTGAGGGACAATTGAAGCGATCGTCGATGGTAGTTGGTTGGCTTGTTGTCTAACGCCGCATTCAGCAATATTCCAGCTATATGATGGCGGTCTGTAAATAATCAAGTCTGGACTCTACAATCCAGTGATTAATATCATGAGCATCGATCCACGCAATTGGGATCAATGACATGCATCAACCAAGTCAGCGAGCCTGACCACCCGATCCCGTTAGTCGCCTTTTACGGCAAGCATGGGTTGCTGAAGATCTATTCTACGCCGGATCTTCACGGGTTTCGTCGATGGTACTGCAGCTCACATATATGTAGTATATAAACATCTACACATTAATAATACAGTAAACTATGGTTATAACGAACCAAAAGGAACAATTAATTTTAGCTCGTTTTAACCGTAGTTCTTTTTAGGCACATATAGAGCCTCTATACAGGAAATGGACGGGACACAAAAACAGTTCGTTATATCCGTCAGTTCGGTATAAGCGTGTTCGGTATAAACGTAGTTTACTGTATGTATATATTTATTACATGTACCTCTTACCTCTAAGCGCTACATTATTACACCGGTTAATGGATAAGTGTGCATTCGACTTTCAGTATCAGCTCCCTTGGGAGTATAATCGGGGCGAACCGGGATTCGAACCAACAATCATCGGTTTCTGGCGAATCGCGGCGCCTTAGACGACTGGGCCACCCGTGCCCCTGGGTGAACAGAGGCATACTTCGTACCAAGCCATCTACTTTAAGAGACACCACATGTGATACATGCACCAGGACTCAGCATCACCTAACTTCGTTGCAAACCCGTGAAGATCCGGGGTAGAATAGGCCTTCAGCAGCCCCTGCTTGTCGTTAGAAGCGACTATGCTTGTCGTTAGAAGCGACTATGCTTGTCGTAAGAGGCGACTAACGAGATCGGGTGGTCAGGCTCGCTGACTTGGTAGATGTATGTTATCGCATCCTAATTCCGTAGATCGATGCTCATAATGTCAATCACTGAATTGTCCGGTCCAAATTCGATTATATACAGACCGCAGTCATATAGCTGGATCATTGCTGATTGTAGCGTTCAACAAGAAACAAAGAAACAAACAAATCATTTAACTTGCGTCCCGTGTGGCGAACACATGTGAAGGATGGTGAGAGAATGAGATGTCTCTACAAACACGATTACTTTTGCGTTAAACAAAATTCACTCCCAATCCGTTTGAAATGAAATAACGATAATGAATAGTGGCATATTGCGACATATAATGTTGTTTTTTTCTGGGTTATACCAATGTATAAATTATGTTTTCAGACATGTGTGTATTTCCTCCACCGTGGCGTAAGACAACAACATTTTGTAGAAAAATACATCGGTATGTTTTCAGCATATTAAAAATATTCATTGAGTAAATTCTGGTTTAACGCCGCTTTGAAAATTTTCTCACGACTGCGTTTAAGTTTAATGTTAGAGAAATAGAAGATATCATTGTACAGACAGACCAAGAGTCCAGTCGGGGAGAGTCTGGGTTTTGGATTCAGGATCAGATATTCCTTTGAAAATTCTGATTGAATATTACTTGTAACACAGTTGAACTGTGCAGACAACACACATTCAATTGCTCATATACACATATAGGTAATGTTAAAAAAAGTAGAGGATTATGAAATATGTATGTTAATACCAAGCATTAGAACAAAGATGTTGACGACAAACATTCTATGAAAGAACGTTTACTTATAACTAAACACCAAAATTCATCCTGATATAGTTTGCACGTGTCTCATTCAGTAACTCAGTGTTATTCCTGATTTTGACACATCCAAGGAAGGTCGATTAATCTCTGTGGACCATTATTTCTATCAGTCTTATTGATTCTGCTTATCATAAAGTTATGTTTTTTTCATTCATTGTTTGTGTATGAACTAGCGACGCGGCCTCTGCAACGTGCGGAACGCTGGAAACTGGCAGAAGTCAGCATGCAGTGGCCAATACGTTCAATGTTTCACAGTCTGTGTTCAGAAGACTATAGAACAGGTACCAGCAAACCAAAGAGGTTGGCACCACGTTCATGGCGTCTCAGATCAACGCCAGGAGTACATGGTCATCTTTTCGAAACCAGGCTCAACGAAGTCGAGCTCAAATGGCGAATAAAATTGCTGCAAACGTTCAGCAGGCTACTGGAGTTTTTGTTACGGGTCAGACGATTTTAAATCATCCGTATGTAGCTCATCTCCTTGCTCGATGGCCACGTGTTGTTGACTTGGCCATGCGTTGCAAGGGGAGTGGGGAAGTCTCTTTTCGCCATTGGTTCATCTCATATGCCCTATGCCTCGTCGAGTTAATGAATGTTTGACACATCGTTGCGGTATTATCACTACTGATCCAAAAACTTCCCGAAATTTCCCATCTTACCCATATCGTTCTCCAAGGGTTGGAGGTCATAACATCTACTGTCATACTTTGTAATATGTTCCCAATTCGTTTGATAGTATCATACAACTATTACTTGAAACTAATATATCTTACAAGTTTGAAATTTAAGTTACTTCCGAGTATCCCCGACTTATATTAAGAGTACAGTCAAACACAACAATGTCGAATTTGAAGGGACCTACGTAAATGCTTCGACTTATCCGGTGTTCGACAAAAGCGAAAATGATAAAAAAGGAATACTCTGAAACTATGCTTTTAATTCGAGACAACCGTAAGCTCGTCACATCGGTGTTTGACTGCACATAATACAGGCCCTTTTAGAGGGTAATTACTTCACATGTTCATCCTGTCTCTGTATTATGTAGGTGACATGTGAAGTGGACTTGGAGAGGGGGCGATCCCCTGTCGACATCGCATACTGTAGCTGCTGGGAAACTAATGCCCTGTATGACAATACATGATCGTTGTCAGTAATCCGGCATTAACATCACCTTACACAGCGAGTCAGCATATCTGTAGGATGTCAAAGTCCAACTGATAAAGGGTGTGTGTGTCTTAGCTTATAACATACCTCCGTACTGACCGCACTCGGTGACTTTAGGGCGTATGTGTACCCTACTACCCAATCCGCGGGTCACTGCAAATGTTTGGCGTAATCCCCGAGAATGGGCCACGCTCTGCACAATCCCCGTCATTGTGTAGAGGGGAATGTCCGAGTAACTCTCCATTCCTTAAAACAAATGGAGCAGAGGCCCCGCAGGGGCCGAGGCCCATTATTTTTAAGGAATGGAGAGTTACGAGGATATTCCCCTACTTAAAACTCATCCCTACTTTTACACTTTGACAAAATATTCTGTAGTTGAAAATATTTGAAAAATTCAAATGCTGCTTCAAGATAATGTACAGTTGACAAGCAACTCTCCATTCCTGAAAAATAATGGAGCGTTCAAACAATAGAATGACGTCACAGATGTGTTTTAACTTGGTTTGGGAGATTAACTGATCTGCGTTATCCCTTTGTGTGAGCACGTAAAGCATATAGGTTGAGAGAGTGATTTTTAGACTGAATCACACTACTTTCAAAGTAGCCCCTCGATAACATCCACCATATCTCCAGGGCTCGCATGTCGGTCAACCTACACTTACTTCTGGATCCGGTTAAAATATTAATTTTCACTTTTATGTTACCATCATGAGGTTTTCTAGTGAGATACTTTTATATTAATCTGAACTTGTTTGTTGCCTTTATTATTATTATTACTATTATTATTATTAGTAGTAGTAGTAGTAGTAGTAGTAGTAGTAGTAGTAGTAGTAGCCATTCCAGAATGTTCTTTTGTTTAGGTTTCAAATTTTTTATCGAGAATTTGTCAAATATGTGTCGAAGCGTTGCCTTCTCATTGGCTAATGTGGACTTCTTGTCAGTCATTTCATTGGTCGGCCAAAGTTCGCGCAAGGTCGGTCTGACGTGACCCATAATGGGATGTCCTCAGATCTTTGTTTAGCGGCAGCGAGAACTAAGATTTGATTTCAATGAGATTGTAGTAGTAGTAGTAGTAGTAGTAGTAGTAGTAGTAGTAGTAGTAGTAGTAGTAGTAGTAGTAGTAGTAGTCGGTTCGCTAACATGTACGTACATGGGACGCTGATGGGAGATTTGCTTTGTCATGTTGTAGGGTGAGGGGTACACCTTGAGCACGGATCCATTCTTAATGAAGATCCACGTTTCATCAGCTGTTAAATACGTCGATGACAGAGTACTTTTGTCGATGATGAGAACCTGAAACAATGAGGTTGGTGATGACAAAGCGTTGATGTAGTAAATACAACATAGTTGTTGATGAAAATGTTATGAAACTAACGATGGTGACGTCATGAATCTATGATGATGACATTATGAAACCAATGGTGATGAGGTTATGAAACCTATTATGCCGTTATGAAACTATGATGATCACGTTATGAAACTACTGCTAATGGGGTTAAGAATCAGTGATGTATGAAACTAATGATGATGACGGTATAAAACTAATGATGATGACGTAATGAAACTAATGCTGACCACGTAATGAAGCTAACGACGACGGCGTTATGAAACTGATGATGATGACGTTATGAAACTATTGATGACGTCCTTATGAAACCAATGATGATGACGTTATGAAACTAATGATGACCATGTTATGAAACTAACGATGATGACGTGATGAAACTAACGATGATGACGTGATGAAACTAACGACGACGGCGTTATGAAACTATTGATGACGGAGTTATGAAACTAATGATGATGTCGTTATGAAACTAATGATGACGTCCTTATGAAACCAATGATGATGACGTTATGAAACAAATGATGACCCAGTTATGAAACTAACGATGATGACGTGATGAATCTAATGATGATGACGTAATGAAACTAATGATGACCACGTTATGAAGCTAACGACGACGGCGTTATGAAACTGATGATGATGACGTTATGAAACTATTGATGCCGTTATGAAACTAATGACGACCTCGTTATGCAACTGCTGAGGATGACGTTATGAATATAATGATGATGACGTTATGGAACTAGTGATGACAGCGTTATGAAACTAATAATGACTAACTGAAATTAATAATGACGACGTTATGAAATTAATAATGATGGCGTTTGAGATCTACAACGCCATCAATAATGACGTTATGATGCCAATAAAGATGACGTTTTGTCACAGGCGATGACGACATTATGAACCAATGGTGATGACATCAGCGACGATGATGTTATGTTTACTATAGCGGTATCTGGCTTTCTACACTCACAGTGGGTTCCGAATGTAATTAGGCTCCTAGTCATATATAAAGTAAATTCAACTTGTACTAATATTCATTTCCCTTACACCATAAGTCCAAAACATTCAGGCAAAACTTTAAGCTGTTCAGGGGATGCTTACCTCAGCTCCACCTATGGGAACAATGCATGTGTTGAACATGTTACTTCTGAACAAGTCGTCGGACACACGTGTCCAGTAAACATCGCACCCTGATGCATACACAATGTCTTTCATAGTCAGCTGCTTGAAGAGTGGGGAGTTAGTTTGGGCATGGGCGAATTTAGCTTGATCAACCAGAGAAAAGAGTTTCAAGTTAATTCTATTCTCGGCATCGAGTCCAAAGCTGTAAATTCGTTGTCTGATAAGATCACTTTGGTTTCCATTGAGATATTGTTCCAGATAGAAACTTGTCCGCCCATGTAGGACCGGCACATCCTCAGCTGCTACAGATGTTATGAGATGGAGGTGTCTATCTTGAGGAGGCAAACCACGTTTGATGTCATTGTCATATTGATTGATGTTGTCAAACACTCCGGCAAATATTGAGGTTAGGTACTTGAAGTCGTCCTGTACATCGGCCCGGACATATGCAACAGCCAGGAACGCTATTAAAATACATGTGCAGTTCATATTGCTCCCCACTGACGAGATCACTTATCTGCAGGCCGCGCGTGTGCTTCGTCTATATATATAATAATTTATTTATTTCCATACATAAGTTGTGCCCCTTGGATTTAAGAGCGTAGAGACCATGGTATGTGCAGGATTATATTAATCCTTGGGGCAATTGTGTGGATATATTTAGAGGGGCTTAAGAAATGTATTTGGCAAATACATAAAGGTTTGTCTATAAGCATCATGGCACATAATTCAACTCATTTTGACTTATTTGAACTAATTTGTTGTGATATTAAAATATTTCGCCAATGGGCGAAAAGGTACGTAGTTTTTATATATTGATGATATACATGTATGTTTATAATATTAAGACACTGTACCTCAATGGTCAAGTGTTTAAATCGCATTGCATCCATAACACAGATCTGCACTACATTTTATATATACGCATACAGAAAACAAATCTAAAGCTGTACATTGATTATTAGTAGATTCGTTACTTTAGCCGTTTCGCTTCTTCACCTATATTGTAGAGTCTGATAATATTAACGTCAATAGTCCGTTTCCGATTTTAATGCTGGATTTTCAAAAAATTATTCCAAAATTAATGTAATTTGCCTCAAATAAAAGCAACCTATATTTATGTAGGATTGTTGCAGGATCGCCAGTGTTATTCGCGTAGATGTAGGTGCACTTATTTTCACGTACGTAGATTACTAATTATAAAAATGAGCACACAATGCAGAGACATCGGAAATAAGAGCAACAGTTTTGATGGCCATCATACCAGCGTTCAAATGTGTTTTTTAACTGTCAATATAAGATAGCTACGCGACAAATCAATAAAGAACGACGCGCGGTTTATTTCACGATAAAACATTGTTCTATCTTGACGTCGTTTCCGGAGATTCGAACAAGCGCTCGCAAATTGGACGGCGTTATTTTTTAGAGGGAAGTAGTAAGTTGTTCTCCATAGATCTTTTTGGGCAGCGTAGATAAACACAATGGCCGAACGATCGCTTCCAAATGTGGGATATATATGACAATTGTTATTGGGGGAAAGGGTACAGATAATAGACGTGAAAACTGTGAGAATGTGGAAAGATCACATTTATCCCCCCTGTTCATAAAAGGGACATGTCCGACATTGCCGCGGTCGGATTCTTTTCAGGGAGTCATCATTATTTAAATACGGGTAAATATGCTTTAAAGCGTGTACATTTTACTAACATTTTCAAAGAGGCTGTACGTAATGTTGATATCCCATATAAGAAATAAACGACTCGTAGTCGTTGTTTATCGTACAATAAAACTCCTCGTTTATTTCTCAAATAACCGAGGCTGCACCACAAAATCCAGGGTTCAAAATATACGTATAAGAAGTCCCTGGCCGTCAGAGTCTGATGACACACAATCAATCCGTTCACCGAGACAGACCACCAGATCCATTCAGGTGCCTCATAGTTGACCAGCATAGATTGGCTGTTCTAACCCGGAATCCCCATGAGGCCGCTTAGCACTTTTGTCGTAATGTCATGCAGATTTCATCGCATGTGCATGAATATGTACCAGGCTCATAACGTGAGTGTTCACTACGTTGTTGAATTATGTCAGTGTTACTTCAATTGAAGAAGAAGAAGAAGAAGTCTTTATTTGTACCAAGGCCACTGGCCCATATACAATACGTACATTTGAAATTGTGTAGCACATAGGTGTGTGGATAAATTTATGTGTGGATGTGAAAGTTTGGATATGGATATGGTGGTGGAGGTGGAAGTGGAAGTAGGTGCGGGTGTATGTTAGAGTGTGGATGTTGATTTGGATGTGGGCGTGGATTTGGGTGTACATGAGGATGTGTAGGCATATGGGCATATGTAGGTGGATGTGGATGTGGATGTGGATGTGGATATGTAGGTGGATACGCAGGTGAATGTTGATGTGAAGGTGGACGTGGAAGTAAAAATGATTGTAGATGTGGATGTTTCAGTGAAATATTGGTCGTTATCAGCGCTAACGCATGTTCAGTGACTACACATAGGTGCTGCACATCCAACACTATTTCTACTTTCAGTATCCGAGCCAGCTACGAACACAGGTGAGTGAGGATGGGAGTGTCCACTGCATCTGCAGGTCCACCACAGTGTTCAGAAGGCTCTTCATCGTAGTTCTTGTCATATTAATAAATGATTTATTGATCAACAGGATGTTGAATTCTGGTTTTTTATGCTTTTTATTTTGAAATATACATTTCTAGTATTCTAATACTTTAATACCTGTGTCACTCTCCATTATTTTGATGATCATCAAAGATCCTGGAGCCTTTTCATCTGAGAGAATATCAGAAAAAACATTGTTGATGCCTAGTTGACTTAACTTTAGTGCTCTGTTTGTAGTGACATTTTCCCAAGCTTTAGGAATATTGGTTGACAGTTTTTGATAGTCCAAAATTATTCCTTTTTGTGTTAAAATCTCCACTGGCCAGTATAGTTTTTAATCATTGCCTAAAGTAATGTTACTTTTCAACTTCCCTACTCACCTATATTTTACGGCCAGGCATTTTATAGAAATTATTTGGTGTTTCTATGGCAACATTTAGGCTGTTTTCAGACAATTGGTAATTCCCTTGTTCATTGTTACAGATAATCTATTGTTTTTAAAGGTTTCAAAATATCTCAACAAATGAATAATTCAATTGGATATCCATCGATACTGCGTTTTTAATTTTCTCAATTCTAAGCTCCTTTTCATGAAGGTCTACGTCCTCTTTACTTCGTTTAGGTGTATTGATATTGTTCATATTGGTATCATTAGCTGGCTCAGTTGTGTTTGGGTTTTTATGTAAAGATTCATGAGAAAAATGGCTAGGTATTCCCCCCCACACCCTTCCTCGTACTATCTTATTCTATTTCTAATCTAAATTGATAAATCAGTTAATATTGATTCGTTTTTGTTTTGAAAATATTTTTGATAGGAAACGGTTTCTTCAAGAAGTGATATCATTATTTATAGTTGTTTAATGTTTTCTTCCGAATCTTTTTTCAAGAATGATGAAACAGAAATGGTTTTACCCCATGAATTCATTAAAAAGCTTTCAAGAAACATAGCATCAGATATGATCAGATTCAGTGTTGCATGTATGTGTTGGTCTATCTCTTCTTCACATTATATTTTGTCAGAATATTCATGTAATATTTCCTTTTATGTGTTCTTAATTTTTCATATGTACTCTTCATTAAGTAGCAGTGAAGTGTTATCTTTCCAGTAGCCTCGGCCTTGTTTCTTATTATCAAAGACGGTTAGTGTGATAGTGCAATGGACAGATTTATAGCCAGGTACAATATCTGTATCACATGGCCGCTTAGATATATCTTGTGAAACTAAAACAAAATTCAAGCCTTACTTGCTGCCTTGGATTGTTTTACCACCATGTATTTTTTTCACACTCCTCATCTAGTTCACTTCAAACATCTACTTGGTCAAAATGTTCCCTCTTTTCTGATACAATATTTCTTGCATTGTGTATGTTTTTGTTATTTTCAAAATCTACTGATGGGTTGAGCACACCATTCCAGTCAACACAAATGGAAAAAGATTCATTTTCATATCTATCCGTTTTCTTAAATATATTAACCTAAAACAAGTGCACATCTCCATTCGGGCCGTACAGGTTTGTAAAAGTAACTTTTATTCCATCTACTGTAATATCAGTGATAATATGATGACCAATTTCATCATCCAAACTTGTGTGGATATTTATTTCAAAAGTATTCTTACTATAATTAAATAGGATCACAACTCCCCCTGAAATTGAATTTGAAGGGTGCTGTTCTACTTTGTAAACCCCATTCATGTTCCCTCATCTTCTTTTTTGTTTCTGGAATGTGTATACTTTGAGTCTTTTTTCTCTCTACATATTTTCATTATTTCGTAACGTTTATTGTTTTTCAGCAAGCCAACTACAGTTTGCATTTACTATTTTTACATTATTACACATTGCTGAAGAAAGTGTGCGGGTGCGTTGGTCCGGACTAATGCCGGTTTTATAGTGCTGGGTCACTGAGATACCATGCCGCTGTTTAACATGAATACCCCACTCAGACACAGCACACTGAATCGTTGTATCAACTTAGTGCTTTAATGAAAATGTCGCCTTTGAGATTGTTGAAGTAACCTTTAGATATTTTTGACATAAAAACAAAGTGAGTGTGTGAGTGAGTGTATCAACACAGATGTTGAACTCTATCAGTACATATTTATGTTATTTGGGTTAAAACATGCACCAATACAGCTACCCTTCTACCTCTTCAGTGACGTCACTTGAGACCTACAATGTACAAAGATTAACAATGACGACATTCACAGCCCTTCTGTGGAATAAGACTATCATTTGAAGAGGATCCATTATCTGTTGGTGTCAGTTGCGGATTATTTGCAAATATAAAAGGTCAGGTTGGTAATACTTTCAGTGTCGAGTGAAAGTGTCGATCGTTGATCGAATGTGAATTTTAAGATGAGGCACATGGACAGATTACTGGGCCAGTTATCATCATTATAATGGAGTGAGTGAGTACGGTTTTACGCCGCTTTTAGCAATATTCTAGCAATCATCATTATAAGAAATGATACCGAAAATCGGTGTCTGAAACTCTCTAAATATAAACTGCGACGAAATTTAGCGTGGGTTTCAGTTCTCATTCCTGTGTTTGTAGACCTTTTCAGCTTTGGGTCTTTTCCCGAAATAAAAAAGTTGAATTTGGCTGAAATATGTCGCTGTGTGGACTGTATTTCTGACTGTATTTCGTAACTCCGTTATGAAACTTTATGAAAGACGAGACGTATAGCTTGGTATTTGTGTTTTAAGGCGACTTGGACGATTAAAGATTTATTCGAGCCAAACAGAACAAATGTCTTTTGACAACACAGAAGTGAGTAACAGACGAGGCGTTTCACAGAAGAAACGTTTCCCATTAATAAAGGCATGGTTCGATTGCCGCTGGGGGCGATCAGCGAAAATTTGAAAAATTATCGGCAGGCCTTTGTCTTTTTTGTCTAAGTGGTAGGCCACTGTCAAAAAGACAAGTTTCAGCTGGAACTATACTGACTGTTGTCACTGTCTGACTGACTAATCACACACATTGTGATTGATGGAATTGACGAACAACTTTTAATGATTAAAAGCTCTTTAATTTTGTGAGATTACATTACAGTGCTCTGTGGATCATTGTGCGTCACCGGTCACATGACGTCACAATCAAATGCCATCACTGATATCGCAGCCACTAAGGCTGGTTATCTGAACTGTTAACACTCACTACACTGGTTATTACTGTTTTCAACTGAAAACGTTGGTAGATTGATTTTGGACGTTAAATAGAATCTCACCCTCGCGCCTTTTAGCTTAAAATATATCAAAGAACATTTATAAAAGTTTTAATTTCCTTGGAAAGTATCCAGATCACATCTGACTCCTTTTATGAAAGCACACCGTACCAGGGTCAGTCCACCTGGTAGAAGTCCACTCCACCATCAAGGCGGGGTCCGTTAATAGCACAGGTTATCACATTCACAAACAATGTTTTATCCGTGTCGACCACGACTTCAGATTCGGTGAAAACTACGCTGCCGTTGGAGAAGAAGCGGCTGGTGAGGATTTCGTTGGCGTAGCCTCCGTCCTGGCTGTTACGGGTGGTCTTCAGCTGGGACCACAGCACATGGTTACCATCCGCTGAAACCTCGAAATCTGACAGAGACAACTAGAATTAATATCGTCTGCATAGTGGAGTAGCTAACGTTTCTTACATAGCAGGGGGACACGGGTGGCCCAAACGTCTCAGGCGCCGCGATTCGCTGTGCAGAGTTGCGTCTCTTGGACGCGCCAGAAACCTGTGATTGTAGGTTCGAATCCCGGTTCGCACCGATGGTGTTTCTAGGTATGTAAGCACCATACCCGTGCTCGTGGGTTTCATCCAAATGGTAAACGTCTGAGACCTGCATCACTTCGGGATTTCCTCCCACATTAAAGCTGACACGCCGTGATATAACTGGAATACTGTTAAAAGCGGAGTTAAACCCAAGTCACTCACTCACTTACATGGTATATATGTCTTACCGTTACAAGGTAAGAAGCATTCCCAAACCTTAGAAATTACAGACAAAATGGCGGCTACCGTCTCTACAGATTCTATACTGTGTTTGCTTTTCTGTAAATTGTCATTGAATGTGGAACCCTTTGAACACAGAAACTCACGCAGTGCTAATGCAAGCGAAGCGGTCAACATTGACCTCGGTCATTGGTGGATCATTAATCAACCGATCACGACAAAAGCAACGGTAGAATGCCTTGGAAAGAATTTCATGTATAAGCAGGTAGTGTGGGCTTTTGGGCCTTGAGGTCGAGTCTTTATTCTTGCATGGGCTGAAGTGATGTTAGTCTTGTACAAGTTTCAAACCTGGTGTTGCGTCAATTCTTGTGTGTGCATGTCGACAGTACATGAATGTATGTGTGTAGGTAATTAGGCGTTAGGCCCATCGCTTGTGGATTCACGTAGGTACCTGCTTAAGGGTCCCTCGAGAACCCTAAAGTCAGTTACAACAACACGACAGCGTTTTGTGGACAGCTCGGTCTGTTTGTTTTGGGTTTTTTTTGTTTAAAGCAGCAATATTCCAGTTATTTGATGTCAGCCTGTAATCAATGACCAGACAATTCAGAGATCGATCCACGCCGTCTCCGTACGATGTCACACAACCTACTAAATCACTGATCCTGACAACCCGAGCCATGACACAGCAAGAATAGGTTATTTGGAACCAGCTTGGGAATTTCACTTGAGCTCTTTTTGTTATGATTTTGACTGGACAGCAATGAATTTTTACTTCAAACCATCTCCGTTGGCATCATATGTTAAAATCACGTTCTTTTTTCAAATGGAGTCATTTTCCAATCTGGAAATACCATAAATGTGAACTAATTACAGATCAACAAGGGAGGGAAAAAATTTCCGGGCCTTTATAAGTGTGCTAGGGTGTGTGATTCTTGTATACATACCCTTGATGTCAGCTCCACCGATGGTGTCTTTCTTCAGTGAACAGAGGCCATAATCTATTGTTGCCCTGATCCTTGACCCACTCTGTAGGGCTGTCACGAACTCTCCGAGGGTAGCGAGTCGCGTTAAAGAAGCCCCGTCAGCAAAGAATGACGCAGAGACACTGTAAACGTACAGAGACACTGTGAACGTATAGAGACACTGTGAACGCAAAGAGACACTGAACACACAGAGACACTGTGAACGTACAGAGGTATTGTGAACGTACAGAGACACTGTGAACGCACAGAGACACTGTGAACGTACAGAGGCATTGTGAACGTATAGAGACACCGTGCACGTACAGAGACACTGTGAACGCACAGAGGCATTGTGAACGTATAGAGACACAGTGCACGTACAGAGACACTGTGAACGCACAGAGACACTGTGAACATATAGAGACACCGTGCACGTACAGAGACACTGTGAACGTACAAAGGCATTGTGAACGTATAGAGACACCGTGCACGTACATAGACACTGTGAACGCACAGAGGCACTGTGAACGTATAGAGACACCGTGCACGTACATAGACACTGTGAACGCACAGAGGCACTGTGAACGTATAGAGACATTGTGAACGCACAGAGGCACTGTGAACGTATAGAGGCATTGTGAACGTACAGATACACTGTGAACGTACAGAGACACTGTGAACGTACAGAGGCATTGTGAACGTATAGAGACACTGTGAACGCACAGAGACACTGTGAACGTACAGAGACACTGTGAACGCACAGAGACACTGTGAACGTACAGAGACACTGTGAACGTACAGAGACACTGTGAACGTACAGAGGCATTGTGAACGTACAGAGACACTGTGAACGTACAGAGACACTGTGAACGTACAGAGACACTGTGAACGTACAGAGGCATTGTGAACGTACAGAGACACTGTGAACGTACAGAGGCATTGTGAACGTACAGAGGCATTGTGAACGTATAGAGACACTGTGAACGTATAGAGACACTGTGAACGTACATAGACACTGTGAACGTACAGAGGCATTGTGAACGTACAGAGGCATTGTGAACGTACAGAGACACTGTGAACGTACAGAGACACTGTGAACGTACAGAGACACTGTGAACGTACAGAGGCATTGTGAACGTACAGAGACACTGTGAACGTACAGAGACACTGTGAACGTACAGAGACACTGTGAACGCACAGAGGCATTGTGAACGTACAGAGACACTGTGAACGCACAGAGACACTGTGAACGTACAGAGGCACTGTGAACGTACAGAGACACTGTGAACGCACAGAGACACTGTGAACGCACAGAGACACTGTGAACGTACAGAGGCACGGTGAACATACAAAGATATGGAATAATATCTATGCGTGACCGAGTGACAGCATCAGCATTATTTCAGCAATATTGGTACGAGGGCATGTTTAATGAGCTAGAAGTATGTCATAAATACATCGAAGTTATATTTGTCAAACATTTTTTGGCACAAAAATAATATTTACAATTGTTTAAAACAATTGGGAAGCTACCAGCAACCAAAGCTAGACCAATTCATTGGGGATTTCCTTAACAACCTGTATCATCAAGGAACTGACCACTCTTGGAGGTCAAGAAAAAATACCGGTAAGAAATAATTGACCTAAATTGGGTCACGCCTGAAGTACGGATAAAAACACTTGTACTCACCTGGAAGAGTCAGGGCTGATGGTACAGTCATAGTACTGTTTGTGTATCACCGTCTGGTAATCTGGTGAAAGAGTAGTGACAGTCAGCTTCACATCTCCTGTTTTGTAGATGGACCCTTCTCGGAGCTGGACCACCAGAGATCCTGGAACATTACAACGAGGGTGTGAGCGAATATTTACGTAGCATCGGCAATGCTGTATGTCTGTAATGATAAGGGCACTGGGGGGAGCCTATGGATATCAGGTTTTTTAAAGTCATGTTTGCAGTGCTTTGTTGTTCTTCCCAGTCAGCAATATACCAGCTATATCGCAAATACTAGGCAAGATATCCGAGCAGCATCACATAACTTGGGTACGATGACACACACTGAACCAAGTCACTGAGCCTAACCTACACACTCACCACAACCAAATGAGCCCTGGGGGCTATTTATTACGGGATCTTCTACTGTCTGATTTGTCTGACAAAAGACATAGGCTAAGATCGGGGCCCTATGTTTGGTTGAAATATAAAACATAGTTTGGACAGACACATCGGATTAGTCAGCACAGTGGCAAGCGTATTAGAAACCATACACATGTTGAATCGCCTTGTTCTCCTTATATATAGCGAGCGAGTGAGGTCATGTCGTTTCGTGCCGCAGTTAGAAATATCATAGGTGTCCACAGCCTGCCTGGACCAGGTAGTGAGTGAGTGAGTATGGTTTTTACTCCGCGTTTAGCAATATTCCAGCAACATCCCGGCGGGGGACACCAGAAATGGGCTTCACACATTGTACCTATGTCGAGAATCGAACCCGGGTCTTCGGCTTGACGAGCGAACGCTTTAACCACTTGGCTCCCGGACCGCCCCGTTGGGCAAGGTAAACCAGTGAATGAGCTTCATGAGCGGTACATGCTATCGTTTTAGGACATGCTAATGCTATATGATAGGATATTATGAGATACCTCCCACCGCGATTCCGATAACTCGAAAAGCAAGAACTACTGGAGACCTACAATGTATTTAATAGCGCGTTTAAGAACGTTCCAGCCCTATTTCCGCGGGGACAGGACAGAAATGGCCTTCACGAATGGTAACCATTATTATGAGATACCTTCCACCGAGATTCAGATAACTTGAAAAGCAGGAACTACTGGAGATCTATTTTACTCTTTTTAAGAAGGTTCAAGCCATATTTCCGCGGGGACAGGCCAGAAATGGAGGAGAATTGGACCCACTCACCCGAACACTGGTTCAACAGGTTTCAGATATGTCCTGTAGGTCAGTTATACATTTTAGAGACGCATTTGACTCATGTGACCCAACACGCACGCGTACGATGTTGACAAACCAAATATCATATTTAATACTGGCTAATCTTGGATTCGAACCCACGATCAGCGGTTCCTGGAAACTCCTATAACCTATAAAGATCACATAACGAATATACTAGTTACCCACGGCTTCCCTCTGTTAACGATACTCTCACAGATGTCTTACCAGAGTCGTCTCTTCTGTATCGTAGAGAAGCATATCCTATGTAGGGATAGGGACCGACATTCGGAGTGCTGAAGTACTCGAATGTGTCAATGTAGCCTCCTTTCTGGGTAGTATTGGCCCCTGTGGCACCGGTCACCCTGCACGCCGTGGGGGTGATGTAGTACCGGACTGCCTGACCGGACACAAGGGCTTGGAGAAGGTCATCGAAGGTCCTTAGCTGGGTCTTTGTCTTGTTTTTGTAGCGAAGGTAGACGTCTTTGCCCTGACGAGGCATTGTCTTGCGCTGTGACCTTCCAAGGATAACAGGATAAGTGTGTACAGTGTGTGTGTGTGTGTGTGTGGGGGGGGGGGGGGGGGTAGTGGAAAGACATATTTGCCGCAGATCGTATATACTCTTTGGTATACATGACACATACACTGTGCATGTCGTTTACTGCATACAAAAAGTGCATGACGTAGACATTGTACATACAGTAAATACACATCATGTTTACAAGAAGGACATGACGTACACAATATTCATGAGAGTGTGCTTAATGATGCTTAATTTGGCAGCGGCGAACAATGACGTTCTCACATACATGACCTTCAGATATACACAAAATTCAGGCAAACATGACGTTCAAACAAACGTGACATTCAGACATACACAACGTGCAGACACACATGACATTCAGACTTACACAACGTTAAGACACACATGACGTCCACGTGCTGTATGACGGAAACGTAACACAATGTTCAGAATATTGTATGACGTACCAATATTGGTTGGTTGTTGGTTGGTTTGTTGTGTACGCCGCACTCAGCAATATTCCAGCTATATGACTCTGGTCTGTAAATAATCGAGTCTGGACCAGGCAATCCAGTGATTAGTATCATGAGCATCGATCCACGCAGTTTGGACCGATGACATGTATCAACCAAGTCAGCGAGCATGATCACCCGATCCCGTTAGTCGCCTCTTACGACAAGCATAGTCGCCTTTTTCGGCAAGCATGGGTTGCTGAAGACCTATTCTAGCCCGGATGTTTACGGGTCGACGTACCAATGACTTGCAAGGTGCATGGTGGCAATTTTGAACGGGATATACTTGCTCAAATTGCAGATTATTTGAAGCCTAATAACGTCGACGTACTTTGTCTCTGTGCCTACGATCTGTTTTGTCAGGTTGTACGGCACAGGGATGGACCTTACTATTGACCCATTGGCAGCAGAGATCCACGTTTCCTTCACCGTCAGATAGGATGACGTCATGTCGTTTGTGTCTGTGATGAGAATCTGAAAATGTTCCTATTCTGTTAGTAAATGGCATGATGTATAATGTATAAAGCAATACAGAAAATATTTTCTTATTAACTTCATACTAGCTATGCAACGGGAGAAACACATCTTTATTACAGTCACTTGTTTGAACATGCATGGCAAGTTAGTAATACAATGCTAGCATACGTAATAAAATCGTATTATATCAACATACTACGGTGGCCAATAAGGGACATGGGGTCTCTTTTTCAATATTTTGATATTTCATTTACTTTTATAGTAACGTTTTGCAAATTAACACAATTAACACAACCGAAAACATGGAAAATGTACTTTCATTTAGCTATTGAATCGCAGAAATGTGAAGCGAAAATGTCAAAAACTAAAATAATATGTCAACAACAAAAAGAAAATGTCAAAAACAAAAGCGAAAATGTCAAAACTAAAATTAAAATACAGAAAACCATATCCACCGCGGTGATAATATATAGTAGTAGATCTTTTCGTTTTTGTTGATATTTTCATTTTAGTGTTTGACATTTTCGCTTCACTTCTCAGTGATTCAATATCTAAATGATTTATCACATATTTGTATGATAAATCGTGGTAATTTGTAAAAGGTTACGATAACAGTAAGTGGAATATCAAAATATTGAAAAAGAGACTCCATGTCCCTTATGGGCCACCGTAACATGCGGATAAAATGAACTAATTGCGTGAGTTGGAGTTAACACCCCTATGAAAACCGCGTCTGTTATGTCACGGCGCGGTTTGTGGGAACGTCGGAGTTTGTTAATACTTTATGAATGTGTGAGTCGTAGCTACGTGAGTCCGATAGAAAAACCGGAGCTGCTACGATAAAGAAAGATACATATGTACTCCTTGTCCATCGTTTTCCAAACTAACCTCATCTCCATCAATCTCCACCAAGCACGTGTTGAACATGTGTGACCTAAACAAGTCTTCTGTCACACGGTCCCAGTACACGTCACAGCCTTTAATATGAGCGACATCTTTCATTGTCAGGTTCTTGAATAACGGAGAGTTGGGCGACGCGTGGGCGAACTTTTTTTGGTCTTTTAGTGAGTAAAATTTCAAATTTATCCTCCCTTTCTCGTCAACACCATAACTGTTAATTCTCTGGCGCACAAAATCGTTCCTGTCCCCGTTGGTGAACTCCTCAAGGTAGAAGTTGACTCTCCCCTCCAAAATAGGCATCTGCTCCGGAGACAAGGACATTGATAGATGCTCATGTCTGTCTTTTTCGGGTATATCATTCTTTATGTCATTCTCGTACTGAACAGTGTTGTCAAAGAAACCAGGTAGTATGGCTGCTAAGTATTGCAAGTCCTCGGTTACATCGCCCTTCACTGAAAGGCATGCACACGTCAACAGAGCGATATGTGTCAGATCCATGGTTTTCGCAGCAAATGTCGGGACTCGTTTTGAGTGTGGTATATATGAAGATACTTTATTGGTTATCTCCCTTTGATATTAATGCGATACAAGAAACAGTGCTTTGAGTACTATGCGAGAGGTGAAAGTTCTACATTTGAACTTATTCAGGAAAGAGTGATAGTGTGTTTACAGTTTAATTGATGTACAAAGCATGTTGTGTTAGATAGCATTATTACTGGTCCAATTGTCAGTCCAACATTCTATATATACTACTAAAAGATGTGTATAAAAGGACTGTTCCTTCATCAATACATTTCTCGCTCTCCCTTATGAGGGATCACTCCGCGCCCTGCTACACAAAGTTTGAAAAATACATTTTGTTTTTGCTCCAGATTCCGATTTCTGACAAGATCCATGTATTTCGTTGAGTCTCAGGGATTGTTTGGATCACATGTGTTTTTCATAGATTTAAAACTATCAAACAAATATTAATTAGGAAACAAAATCCTCCCAGCCTTCCCAGTCAGGTCTAGAGAAAAGAGGGGAACAAGAAATTCTACACCGACCTAACATTAGTCCGACATGGGTCACTTGTGAGTTGAGCCTCGATGTATCGTCACGTACTGTTGTGGTGACAGTTAATTACAGCGGTACGGCTAGGTCTGAAAAGATCATTTTATTTATATTATTTTGTCATAATTAGCTACTGTGGGGAAATATTTGACAGACATCCAGTATATACACTTAAAAAAAGTAGGGGATATTGGTAAATAATGTAAGCAATTATTGTAGTGAGTGATTGAGTTGGGTTTAACGCCGCTTTTAACAGTATTCCAGTTATATCACGTCGTGTCAGCTTAATGTTGGAGGAGAGCCCGAAGTGATGCAGGTCTCAGACGTTTACCACTTCGGTAAAACCCACGAGCACGGTTATGGTGCTGACAAACCTAGAAACATAATCAGGGCGAACCGGGATTCGAACCCACCATCATAGGTTTCTGGCGTGCCCAAGGGACGCAACGCTGCACAGGGAATTGCGGCGCCTTAGACGCCTGGGCCACCCGTGCCCCAGGAAATAATTGTGAGAGATGTTAATTTATCGTGATAGTTATATGATAATAATGAACGAATTGGGAACCTATTACAACCAGGAATATCGTATTACAGAAGATATGACCATCTAAGATCTTGAAGGACGATAGGGGTAAGATGGGAAATTTCAAAGTTGACGTTTTTCGATCTGTAGGGTGTAATACCTCAACGATTTGTCAAACATTCCCTCACTCGATGAGGCATACTGCGTGTGAGTCTCCCAATGGCGATTTGAGGGAGTCTGTCCCACTCCTCTTGCAGCGCCCGGCCAAGTTCAGCCAACGTGGTCGGCGCTTGTGACCTTTACTCACAGGTCTCCCTATCATATACCAGACGTGTTCATTTGGCGATATGTCTGTGTCATCGCCTACCATGGCATTCTATGGATGTTGTGCTGCTGGACAGGGAAACAATAGGTACCATCTTTTAACGTCTTTTGGTATGACGCGGCCGGGGATCGAACCCCGGACCTTCCGCTCTCCGGGCGGACGCTCTACCTCTAAACCACGGAGGCGGTCCTGCTGGAGGTGAGCACGGACGACAGCGTCCTGAACGAAAAAACGTCGACCCGCACGCCTTGCAAACGGGACAACAAAGGGTGTCAGTATGTTGTCCAGGGAGTACTGTCCAGTGACCCTTCCTAGCACAATATTGAATGGGGTTCGGTCAGTCATAGTGATGCCTCTCCACACCATAGTCATCCACCGACATATCCGTCATAAGGTCTCAAGTTGACGTTGTTTGACGTTCATTTCGACGTCGCCAGACACGACCAAGTCAATCTGAAAATCATCTGAAAACGTGGCACGTGATCAGCGACGATCAACCCAGTTACGACGTTATGTACACCATTTACGTCTGTTGGCCACGATATGGCTGACATATTGCCGATGTGACTTAAAAAATTAACTCACTCTGTTGGCAACATGAAGATTTGTAAGGGGCGACACAACACGTGGCCACCGCGCATGGAGATAAGCTGCATGTTGACAATTCCTAACTCGTTCTCAAGTACTATGATGACAGTTTGCAGTACTTTGATTCGCCGTTTTACGAGTGCAGATGACGTTTTCTCAAAATGAACGATTTTAATTAAACCCTACCCTTTCTCAGGCTATATTTCATCGCATACGTCATTTCTATGTTTTACTTTATTACATCATTAGATGGGGGAAATCTTGGTGTACTTTATTTTGGATGTCAGTTTAGTTGAACCTGCCTTAAAATGATTATATTCCAAAGTTTGTGTGTTGTTTATTCCAGCTATATGACGGTAGACTGTAAACAATCGAGTCTGACAAACAATTCAGCGATTGATGACATTGTGAACAACGATCCTGGGCATCGGGTACGATTAGTCACCGAGCCTGACCACACGATCCATTTGATGGCTTCAAACGACCAGAATGGGTTGCCGGGAACCAATCTAACACGGAATCCCCTCGGGGGTCTGCAGCATTAAAACAGAAAACTCTTCTGGGGCTCCGCTCTCACCGACTACTGTGCTGAAGCACACAGGCAATGACGAAATCTGCAGCGACAGTCCTTGAACCCCACGGACCGGTACAGGTATCCAGCATATCGGATGCATGTCGTAGGGTCGGATGTATGTCGTAGTCGTAAGGTCGGATGCATGTCGTAAGGTCGGATGCATATCGTAAGGGCGGGTGCATGCCGTAAGGTCGGATGCATGTCGTAAGGTCGGATGAATGTCGTAAGGTCGGTTGCATGTCGTAAGGTCGGATGCATGTCGTAAGGTCTGATGGTCAGGTTCTGTGAGAGGTTCATGCGCTTGATCATAGTCATCGACGGCCAGGGATGTAGCTCATAATACCAGTCACTGGATTGTGTGGTTCAGACCCCGAACTAAAAGGGATTTTGGATAGAGATTGAATATAACTTTTAAATCACAGCTGCAAGACCAGATATTCATTTTAAACTATGAGCCTTATCTTCTTTGTCAGAGAAACACCTTGCAACAATGTCATTTTGTGGTTGCATATACTTTATGTTTAAACAGCCTGAAGCATATTTTTTTTCAATAAATTTCTGGGTAAATATATGTTTTTCGATAACCCCCGCCCCCTCCTCTCCCCAACGCCGACTGTCAAATGGTCAGTCCCGATGATCCCATCAACACATATCCGGTAGATGGGTGAAATGTCACGTTGATCGATCAGCGTGCATAAGTACTCAAAAATTACGTATGCTTACACAAGCGTTCCGTCTATCTGTACACACAGAAGACACGCATACGTGTGACACGGATTGACAAGCCCATACTGGTTAATAACCATGATAGCCGTGAAGATCAGGTTTAGAATTGGCCTTCACAAACCTAACCTTGTCGTAAGAGGCGACCAGCGACAGCGACCAACGACCTCGGGTGATCATGCTCGCTGGTTTGGTTGATGTATGTCATCACTTCCTAGTTGCGTTGATCGATGCTCATGATGTCACCAACCAAATAAAAATGGTCCTGCAGACTAAGGATCTTAATCGCTAGCAGATCTAAACCCACCAGTGTGGCGTTCCCGGACAAGGGAAGCAACTCTGCACAGCGATCCACCGTGCCTTGTCCAATGACTAACCATCAGTTAAAAGAACGAGCTAAGAACAACCCACTCCATCGACCCACTCCATCAGTGCACGATTTCACACAAATTCTACCCTCGAATCACCAGAAGATATTAAAGTGTAAACCGACGTCCATGAGAACTGTTCATTATCTTTGGAAGAATATAATATTTATATCCACGAATGTATGTCACATGCAGATTATGTTTTCGATCACTGTATCCAATACACTGTAAACGTACAATAAGTTTTTATTTTTGGTAAAACCTGCAACATAATTTCGTTCTTTCCAGCTAAAACTGGAACAAATTATTATTATTTTTTTTATAAAAAACATCACCCCCTTGACATGAACATCAAATCGTCTGTCCTTTTGTCGTCAACGGCGTCACCAGTAGTTAGGATTTGCAAGTCACTGGTGGCCTTGGCTGACTTGAGCACTTTGAAAATAAGCCTAAGGAAAAGGGGGGCCATGCAGAGACGTGTGCACTGATCATGATGACCTCATATGATTCATGCTTATGAAACGTGGGACTCAAGGACTTGGTCCGCCGAGACATCGACATTTAGTCATTTAGATGACATTGTCACGTTTCGCTATTTCCGTCAAACTTGGACTAGTGCCCTTTGTTAGATCATTGTCCTACTAAATGGACTATAGATCCTACTTTTAAATGAATGTGTGCTGCACGTTCATTTCTCGTGCAAGTGCTATTTTAGCAGTACTTGGAGCAAGATATTGATGTTTGTAGGATTGTTGTGAAACGACTAATCTAACAGACAAACCATTGAAAAAAATAAACCTAAAAGAAATAACTGGCTACATGCTTTCCAAATATCCACATTGTACCTTCTCCGAAGACATTATCATTTCCAGTGACGAAAAGGCAAATGGAAATATCCGTTCAACCTTCTACGCAGGGAAAGACGAAAAAGAGACTCGGCAGCAGGAGAAGCCCTCAGATATGTAAATTCAGTTCTCCTTTATGGAAGAATGAACTATACAGAATATATCCATTATAAAGTTAGTTGTTGGTGAAAATTTCGTTGCCGGTTTGGTTTATATCACACCGATTCCTCGACCCTTGTTTTTAAGCTGTGAAGAACGCAAATGTTCTTTCTGCAGGCAACCTGCTGTTCAACGAGAGAAAACCCGGCAACATATTATGTAGTGAAAGTGTAGTGAGACATCTACGTGATTGGACCAGGATTTTGGTTTTTACTGAGTACGCTTCTCAGCTTGCACAAGTCACAGAAGTTCACTTCCACTAACGAGAGCAGTATGTACAGTTGTTTAAGCAGGATGCAGTCAAAATGCTTTTGTTTTAACATTATATCTTCGCTGTAGAAATTCGTACAAAAACCCTTACAACATTCAGTGATAACGAT